CTCTCTCCAAACATCATATAACGTCCAACAGGAGTGTTACACTGTATGTTACATTGATTCGGTGTAAAGTGTTTGCTGACTGATCATGAGGCCGTAAATTAATAGCTGCAGGGGATCAGAGCAAAGCTTCATTTAAATCTCTGCCCCATAAACTATCTGTGCAGGGCCCTGGGGGCTGTAGAAACACCGGTAGCCGTCTCATTGACACAAACGCACACAACACACACACATGCATGCGCAATTTCACACTAACGCTGAGTGAAACACGTAGGCACTTCCACGTACGCAGTTACTCACGCACACACACTCGCAGCCAAAAGGCTTTTCAAAAACCACTGGATCAGCAGTCGCCTTTCTGTATGAAAACAAAAGGGCTCAGTAGAGGAGGTTAATGACCCCAACAGACACCACACACCTCAGTGAGAGCTCAGAGCGGGGGACGAGCTTTGACTGTGCATGTAAACATCAGCTTAAACTGATCAACATCTGATGACAATTCAACTAAGATACTGTTGACAGATATAACACTCATATTAAATTGTTTGTTGTTTATAATACTCTCGTCCTGCAGCTTTAGCATCATTTTCAATCTTTGTTGCTGTTGTGTTACAGACAGGATACTTCAATACTGATTACGGATTTCCAGCAGTGTGATGACATTAAAACACACTGTGCAACCACTACAAATTGTCAACATTAATTACTCTGAGTAATTAAGAATAATACATTAACTAAATGAGTTATTGCAGTTCTTGTTTTTCATTTATAAAAGGATTTTGTTTGATGTAAAGCATAAAACTAAAACCTATTAGAACATTTGCACAGATCATATTCTTTTATTGATTGTTTTTATTATTGTTGTTTGTTAGCTGAGTTGTTTATTTATGTTGGATTTCTCATTAATACGTTTGTATTTAATACAATGAATATAAAAGATAATTAATAATAAAATAATAATTTTGGGAAGGTTGGGGGATGCCAGGGAAAACTTGGCCAAGGGTGCGGAATGTGCTAGGTCGTGCACTGCTATTTTGTTTGTGATTTTACCTACATCTCTGATATAATTTGATATCTCTTGTTAATATAAAATTAATAAAATTCTGCTTCCAACCATATTACACAGCTAAAATCCCAAATTTGATTATAATTTCATGTTTTATTGCTAGCTTGCCCATTGCTTATGCTGTACAAGCTACTCATTAACCAGAGACATGTTTCTTATTTACACAACAATGACTAACCCTACATGATATGCCAGCTACAGCAACTAGGATTTTTTAAATTATTATTTTATTTAAAATGTCCTTGCCCGGGAAAAGCGCCATTGAGATTAAAAATCTCCTTTACAAAGATGTCCTGGCCAAGACAGGCAGCAGCACATACAACATGAAACAGTTACAGACAAAAACAGAATTCACCACATACCAAGACATCAGGTAAACAAATCTTGGATCAGTTAGTCAGTTAGTTTTGAAATGATGCAAAGGCAGTTCGTGGATATCTGTGGATATAATAATGTGTTGGGACTGAATATTTCACTGGATTTAGATCATCTGGACCTTTGAGAGTGTGTGAGAAATTAAATTGGAGCTGCGTTAAGTGTGTCAGTCTGGATAATATGGATCTGTGTATGATAACACTTTATATGTGAGTCATAACCGTTTGGTTTTTGTCCGACAGAAGCGTTTATTGAGCCTGCTGTGGTGGCTGTGTCTTGAAATGTTCAGTACTAATGGCACTACAAGGAGCATAGCTTTCCAATTACATATCGTATGAGTAAACCAGTTAATCAATAACATATACAGCAGCTGTTTAACATGTCATTATTGTCAAAAATCACCTTAGAAGGGCCCGAAGGCAGGCCATTGCATTTCTAACAGTTTCACCTTATAAATAAGGACATGCCAGCGATTAGGTCTATGGATGGACAATACATGCAAGTCAGCCCAAGCATATAGGAGGCAATGGTGAGTGAGGGCCTTGAGATTTGTGTTGACCCTCAATGCTTCATGGTATAGAGTATCTAAGGGGTGAAGACATTGAGAAGATACATGCTTATATAAAACATGACCACAGTCAATCACAAGCATTAAAGTAGCAGCAACGAGTCTTCTTTTTTGCATCAAAAGAAAAGCAAGACTTGTGATGATAACACAAAGATTTAAAACACAGCATGCAACGATGTTGTGTTCCCTCAAATTAAAAGGTTAAAATGGACAAAATACATTATTTTTCTGAGAACAAACAACTTTATCTCATCCTGACTGATATGTTTCTGCAGACCCACTCCTGTACTGCTGGACCCCAGCTGACATGTTGAGGAAGTGACTGTAAACCAGGCATGCAGCCTGGATAGTTTACCACATGAAGTGTGACACATGCAATCAAAGCCCAGCAGCATCAAAGCACAGTGAAAATGAAGGATGAGATCAGCATGGCATGTGATGTGAGACCATTTCATCATCCTCCAGTGCAATCAACAGTAATCTAAGTGACTTTTAGCGTATGTCAGCACAAGAGAAGAGAGACTGCGATGAAAAGCAACAGGGAGAGAGATAGATGGGGAGGAGGAGGAGGCGGAGGAGGAGGAAAGCAAATCTGTCATGGAACAGCAAGTGCCTGCACCTTGTTTCTATAAATTGCAGCTGATAGGTCACTCGGTGTTTCGCACACAGTGTAACACTCAACCCCCAACAGCCCCCTTACGACCCCACTCCCCCTATCAAATGTGGTCCTGAGATGGGCTGCCGTCACTAGGCAGACAGGCTGTGATCTAGGACAACCCCTGCCCCCAGTGTATAACTTCCTCCATACTGACTCAGTCTTAATTACAGTACTACACCAACTGTAAAAACCTTTGGTAGCATCAAATTAAAGTAAGATATGTTCTGGAAAATGCTTGCGTTTTTTTCATAGATACTGGTTCAGCACGCTTAAGAGCTTATGTTAGTTGCAGGGTGAATCTAATTGGAGCCATATTCAAAACTTTGTCATGCCAGCGTGTATATAGGCCTTCTTGAAATTCTCTGCATAGGCACCAATTTCAGGGGGGATGCAGGAGATTCATCCTCCTAAATATTTGGAAAATTAACACCATAACTTAATGACAATAAGTCTTTGACCCCCCCAAAACAACCCTCCCACTTCATAAACATATGCCCTTGGCAGGCTGCATTTCATCTTAGTATTTGAGGTAACATTTGAGGGGTTGCATGTTGCCTCAGCAAAGGATTAGTGATCATAAAGACCTATGTTGATAAGGAAAGTCCCCTGTACAATAACTTCAGCTAATGCCAGTGTATGTAAGAGAACGCAAATGTAGATGCAGCATTTTATAATGACAGATGGTATTTAAAGGCTCAGGTGCGTGACATACCGAGGTGGCACTCATGTTTGATTGCATGCAATATTAGACCTATGAAATACATCTGCGGTTAAAGCACTATGTGACCAATTCAAATCTTGAAGGGTGGGCAAGTGATTTGGGGGTTGCTAGTTTGGAAGAGTTGTGGACAAAAGCCCGATTACTGGTACAGTCTTCCTCAGTTTGTGCTACACATGGACTTTTAAAATTTAAAATATTGCACAGACTTCACTTATCAAAAAAAAAAAAGCTCTGTAAAATGTATCCAAATATTAGTCCAATCACCAGCCTCACTAGCCCAAATGTTCTGGCACTGCCCAACAGTCACAACATACTGGCAAGATATTTTTCAGTTGCTAGAGTAGAGTTGTGGATCCTGATCCACTGACTGCACTCTTTGGTATTAAAGGTTCTGATCTTATGTTAAACAGCTCCCAAAGTATGATATTTTTTGTAACCCTACAAGCATGTTGACTGATATAAGAAGTAAACACAGGGTCCTGCCCATTCTGCCCTTGTGTAGGATTGGATGCACCACCTGCATTTGGGAAAGACTGAACTCTCCCTAAGAGGGTGTGCAAACAAATTCTGTCAGATCTAGCAATCCTTTATAGACCACTTTGGAAAAGATGCACCAACTTCTTCCCCTAACTAGCCCAGATCCCCCATTTTTTAATGTAATTTAATTTTTTTCTATCCATCCATCCATTTTCGTAACCGCTTATCCTCTTGAGGGTCGCGGGGGGCTGGAGCCTACCCCAGATGGCATTGGGCGGGAGGCAGGGTACATCCTGGACAGGTCCCCAGACTATCTGCAACCTAACCTAACCTGCATGTCTTTGGACAGTGGGAGGAAGCCGGAGTACCCGGAGAAAACCAGAAGGGCCCCCTCCTGGAACCCTCTTGCTGATACAATACAAAAACCCACAATTGAGACAAACCTAATGGTAGCCACAAAGTAACGACAAACATAAATACATGAAAATAAAAACAAACAAGAATCAGCAATAGTTGTAATCACAACCAGCACAAGTTTACAAAGTGTAGTCCTTGATATGCTTATTCTGTTATATTTGATACCCCATTCATCTAATGACTCTTGACCTCTCTTTTTTCAAGTATATTACTGTTAAATTGTTTTAAATAGAACATTTAATTTTATGTGTAAATATTATATTTTGCTTTTTCTATACATGCATGACAAAACACTCTATTTCTGATTGCTAACTTGTTGAATATTTTCAATTTTTTTTTGTATCAGAAATTCTATTTTCAATCTTATATTACTGCCACTGTTTTACTTTGAAAACCCCAATAAATAAAATCTTAAAAGGGTGCAGGTCTGTCAATGACAATACCTCAGCCAGCACCGTTTGTTCAGCCAGGACACAATGAGGATGCCTTGTCTGTGTGAATTATGAGTTATGTGGATTTCCTCCTGGACAGGAAATGAAAAGGATGGTCTCCTGCTGAGGGCTGTTTACTGTGAGTGCCAGCTTGTTGTTTAATAGGTCAGATATTTTGAGTTTCAGCCAAGTTATGTTCACCTCTGCCAAACACCTCATATACAGACACTGTATTAAAGTGAAACTCAGTCATGTGTGTGACATGTCTGTGATAGTTCAGCTCATCTTACCTCGTCCTCTGTCTCGTTTTTAAAACACAAACACGCCGCTCTTCTCTTGAACCCTTCACCGTCGTACGTCCTGGTCTGGTTGGGCTTGAACTTCATCATTTATGTCTGCAGTCGTCGAGTGTGCGGGAAAATGTTAGGTGGGAAAAAAGGCGAAATTCTGTGTTGAAGCAGACGCTGAAGATAAAGCGGTGTGTCTAAAGAAATACTCCCAACTTTACTCTTCTTCACGCGGTCCCAGTCTTAACGTGTGTACCAGGTTCATTCATTCCCGGGCAGCGTCAGACAGCTTGTGGTCGTATATTGCAGCTACCATGGTGGTTTAGTGCCGCTGTCAACACGCATGATTCAACAAACTCGCTCCCAGCTGTGGCCGCTGAGCTGCTACCAGCTGACCTGAGAGCTGCGCAACAAGCTGCCCGTCCACTCCCACGTTACACCGAGTTTCATCATTAACGAGACGATTAATAAAACAAACACGGGTCAAGAGTCTTCAAACAGCTGCCAGCTCCACGCGGGGCTGCGTCGTAATCATTGAAAACGGCGCGTGTGCATAATGGCTTTCTCGGAACTGCAAATGCTGCTTTCAAGTGCCGCTGCTCTGATGTTAGTTTGGAGATAATTTGAGCGCCTTTTCCTTTGAGATACAGACAAAGCAGCTCATTTGGAAATAGCAGTCCAGCAAACATAGGCTTCATACCATCCTCCATCTTATATTTCCAAGATTCAAAATTCAAGAAGTGGGTTGTCATATGTACAGTAAAAATACAAACTCAAAAAAATGATTAAAAATAGTAATAAAATTTGAATGAAAACCATATTTAAAAACAAAAAAGATGATGAAGCAGAAACAAAGGACTAAGTTTAAAATCTGAGTTTAATAATCAGTAAACCTCTTTAAAATTCCTTCTTTTGTCTCCCGTTACATACATAGAAAGTAAATTATTTTAAAGGGGGGATTTTAGGGTGTCTGCCATGTCCACTTCTAGATAAAGGCCTATGGAAACAAAAGCAAACACACCCCAAACAAATACATAAATAGGCAAAAATACATTTATCTTTATTTTTAGTGAGGAAATACATGCTGCCTAAACTGCTTTAACTCATATATTTGGTTACTAAACTACAATTAATTAAAAAAAGTTGGATTGGATGGATGACTAAACTTCCCACAGTAAATGAAGGAAGCATGAGGTCATTACCTGCGGTTTTAAGGTCAAATAAACACAACAACGTTGAGTTCACTGCAGCAGCCTGGTGTCAACACTTCTACTGTAAGTTTCAGTATGAAAGCACCTTGTAGTGAAGTCTGTAATGTACTGCTGAGCGTAAATGTCACAAAGCTCAAGGCCTCCCTCTGCTGGATGAGGACGGTCTTTAAACCACAGGGTGTGTTCAAGGGTGAAAATGTTTAGAGGTGTTTAAAAATGACAGTGTCTGATTAGCTGGATGGCTTCAGCTCAGGTTGTTTCCAGCAAGTGCTTTTAAAAAGGGGAGGGCTTTAGTTAAAAAAACAGACAATCATTATGGATTTATGAATGATCCTGACCCACATCCAAAGCAGCACTATGGTTCTCATGAGGATTTAAAGGTAGGTCTGCCATACCATCTCTGCAGAGATCATTACTGAAATGTCAGGGACATGGGAATATGCAACCTACAGCTTTCCAGGTCACTGGGACAACTCTGAAGAGTCTTTTGAACTTTGTCTGACTGAACCAGATCCATGTGGCTGCAGAGGACATACAGCTACGGTTTATGTTCACTGTGTGAAGGCTATAGTCACCAGGTTTATAGGACAGTATGACTTTGCATTTAAGAATATTATTCAGTGCACAAGGGGAGAGTTGTAATTTCATGGTGCTCTAAATCAGCAACACGTTAATATAGTAATATAATCTGTATAAAGATTTGCATGAAATAGATCGGGGCCCACAAAGGACATCTGGGGGACACCTCTAGTACCCAACAGAAAGTCAGACTGGGTCACCTCAACCCTCAGGCACTGCTGAAATAACAGTCCACTGGGAAGGACGGAGGAAACAACTGATGATTAAATAAAATGAGAATATTTAATTAGCTAAATAAATGTAGTTATAATGACCAGAAGTATGTTAATGAAATAATGCTACATTTAACCTGTTTTCATATATATGGGGAAAATGAATATTTGATACAAACTCAACAGGAGCTCCCAAATTACACAATCAGCTGCATAAATTGTTCTGAATATAATTAACTATTTAATTAGTGGACTAACATTAATTAGTCACAATTCAATTATTTTTAGAATCATACATGTACACCATCTAGAATAAATGCACCTAAAAGTAAAGATTCTACCTTTCTTGGTGGCCAAAAGACACAATTTAATCAAAGTAATGTAAAATTTAGAGGTTCTTGTACTTTCCATGCATTTTATGTGACTTAATATTCCTATTTCACAGTACTGCTGAGGGAAATATTGCACTACAGTTAACTTGTGATTATACTGAACATATTACTAACATCGAAAGCAATACAGTGCAGAAACACTGTTACAAGTTAAAGTTCTGCATTCAAAATGTTACCTAAGTAGAAGTCCACAAGTATTAGCACTGAAATATGCTTTATAGATCATAAGTACAAGTCTTCATTATGCAGAATGGCCCAATTATCGATGCATTTATGTGTTCACTGCTTTAATGTTGTATTTGGTAAAGGTGAAGCTCAATTTAATTAACCTACTTTACATTGCTGGGTAGCTTGTGAATGTTCCCCTGGTATCTATATAGGCTTATCATAATTTAATCTATACTAATACATCATAATTTATTTGTTGATATTTTGTTGTAATAATCTGAATCTGCAAAGTAACTAAAGCTGTCAGATAAATGTAACTGAGTATATAGTATAACTGAGAATATTTCTCTGAGATGTGAAGTAGAAGTATTAAGTAGCAAAAAATGAAGTACCTAAAACTGTACTTAAGTACTTGAGTAAATGTACTTGGTTACTTTATACCACTGATCATATCTGTTAAGACCTCAAATTGAAGTCAAGATATAAAAGGGATTCGGTGAGGTTACAAAATCCATGAATTTATGTCATAAAGGTGTGACCTGTCCACTCAACCTGTTGAGAGAACGTCTGATTGGACAAAGTAAGTGGCATACATAATGTACCATCAAGAATTACACACGAACATCTATTTATTAATCAACAGATTTTATTTACAGAACATAGAAGTATGCAGGTGGACTGTTTCATAGCATTCTGAGAGAAGGAAAAAACTTCCTCCCCAGATTAATAGAAAGAATGAATTTACAAACAGTGAATTGAATACACACTTTTCAGCCAAATACCAATCACAAGAGCTGAGAGTCAAAGCCTTCGTCCATCTTTTCAAATTTTAATCCTGCTCACCTCCGCCAGTCGCCACAACTCTCGCCATCAAACAACTGACAACTCAAATGTAACCACTGCTTTGTGAAATAAATGCCATTGGAAGAAGTAAACCACTGAGTCTGCTAGCATTAGACTGTGAGGGCGTACGGAGAAAACGCATAGTAGTTAGTAAGAGCGAGAAAGATTCACATAGAAAAGACTGGATATGGTAATAAAACATACATGCTAAAACTAAAGGTCCACAATGTCCACCCTACACTCAACACTCTCCAACGGCATCCACAAGCCTACGTTTTACACTGAGAGCGGTTGAAAACGTTAATGTGACAATGGCAGGCTCAGTTTGGCTTTCAGTCTTTTTATTTTGTATTCAATGCAGCCAGATGTGACTTGATGAAGAAGCAGGGCTAGTTTATGCATCCCTCTGGGCCATCTACACAGCACGAGTGACCTCCAGGTGAGTGTGTACATACAGTGGGCTAGTAGTAGTTAGCTGCTTTTAATAAACAAACAGCGACACGAGAAAACAAAGTTAAAAGAAATGTAAAAAGTATACTATATTGACCACATCTAGCCTTTCTCTCCTCCCTACCCATTTCACTCCAGGACCTCCGACCTCCGACCTCCAACCTCCAACCTCCAACCCCCCCCCCCCCCCCCCCCCCCCCCCCCCCCCCCCCCCCCCCCCCCCCCCCCCCCCCCCCCCCCCCCCCCAAAAAATGTGGGACATAAGACCAACCCAACCCCCCCACCCCTCCCGAAATGTGCTCGTTAAAGCAGCAGTTGGCAAAAGCTTCCCAAAATCATGGACAAAGAAAGCCAGGTGAGTAGATCTAAAACCTCTGCCCATGCATTTGAACAGTAGTGAGTTAGGACAAAGACAATTCATTTCGTTACTAGTGTGCATTTAAATCACCAATTGTCAGCAGTTGTGTTTTTTTTCCTTTACAATATATTCATGTTTATTTTATAATATATATGTATATATATTTAAGACTGTGTCCTTTAAATGCAAATGAAGTAGGAAGAGGTCTTGGCAGAACATGAGGAGTTGATTTTTACTTGTATCTTCACTTGTTGGGCTGCTCTACACTTCATTCTTGTTTCCAGCATAAAGCCTGGTCCATGTCTTGGCTGCAAAGAAAAAAACAAACAGAATATGAACATAAGTCACATAAATATTAACAATATGGCGTTGTTGCAAAGACTGCATTAAGACATGTTTATCTTAATGAAACTGAAAATCCTTTTCTCCTCTAATATGTTCTTAGTTTTTCTTGTAATTTAGTATTGGAGTGTGTGGAGTACTGTAGTTTTATTACATTTCAGTAACCGAGTGTACAACTAAAAAAGTGCACTGAGTAGAGAGCAGATCTCCAGGCTGGCCATGGCCACTCGGGCAATTCATTTAATTACAACGGATACATTTCAGATCCCAGAAGCAAAGAAAAAATGTGAGAAGTCCTTGAGCAATGAGCATACAGTCATAAATGTGCACAGAAAATATAAGTTGACTTGGTCTAGTAGTATCCGAGATTAGCTGCGGAGTCTGGACAGATGAATACACACACTCACAAGCTCCTTTTACTCTGCCTCTTCAATGCGGGAATATCATGAAAGTATGTCGCCTTGCTGTTCTGTATAACAGGTACAATCATGGAATTGGGGGACAGATTTGTCTCACCTTTATCCCGACATTGGAGGTAGTAACAGCACAGAAACAACATTTGTATAAACAGGCAGGACGTGATCATTCATGGGTGGCACATGTGTGACATATTGATGATGTCTTATGCATGTGACCTACTGCAAGAGGACTAACTAGCCAAGTTAGCAGCTAACTCAAGGAAGAAGAACAGCAGCTGAAAATGCCCGCAAATTGGGAAAACAGTGAGGCCTGGGAGCTCCTTTCCTAAGAGCAGAGGACGAGATCAGCTGCCATATAATAAGGATGGTAAATGACTGTTATTTAATGTGATTGTTATTGTTTATAAAGCGCTGCCCATGAGTATGTTACATGTCACACTAGAGGCAGACGCTGTTGTCTTACATGTCATGCCTCTTGTCTAAAGTCACACACTGGAATGGCACGATGCCACCGTTTATTGGTTCTTTGTAAAAATGCAATGGCAGCACAAAGACAGGACTTGTAGCGGCCCTAAAGCACGACTTCTGTGTATAAAGGACAACAGACTCACACACACACACACACACACACACACAACCAAACACGTTTCCTTCCAGGCTTATGCCTGACTGAGATTATAAGGATACGTTACAAATAATTCTAGTAAAGATAGTTAAAAAAATACCACAGTACCAAAAACAAAAACCCTCCCCAATGTGCACAGTTAATCATACAGTGTTTTGTTTTTTGTACCTATGTGTGTATTTATGTCAGATATTCCTGTACTCCAAATGACAGAGGGGAAAGAGAGAAGTAGCCAAGAGTTAGGTGGAAAGTGTAATAAACCCTCAGCTGATCACAGCCAGATCATAGCTCTTACCTGTTTCTATGGCTTCAGCTTCACTGGTCTTCCACTTCTCGGCAACATCATTTGCTAGGGGATCATCAGGGTTGGGTGCGCTTAGTAACGCCTGGATTGATAGCAGCACTGTGCGGATCTGCAGAGCTGGCGACCATTTATCTGAAAAAAAAAAAGAAAAGAAAAAAAAGAACAAGAAGTAGAGAGATAAAGAAGACAAAATTGTGTTTTAAGCTGCAGGGGCAGTGAAGAGACAGTGGTGCAGTGGTAGCGCCACAAAGTTCCCGTTAGGGGTCAAAAGTGTAACATAAGAGGCCCTTGATCTTTTGAGCAAGATAAATTGGCAAAGCCCTTCATTCACAGGCCAAACATCAGAGGACACAATACATACAGGCTTTCCTACAGTAACGAGCCTGACTCAAAAGACCAAAGACAGAACGGGGAAAAGACGAGCTTTCTGTAAAACACGACAAACACCACACACAGCTGGCCAAGCGTAAACTGTAACTGACTTACCTTTCAAAATGTCTAGACATATTCTTCCCAGCTTGTCTACATTGGGATGATATATTTTGGTCATGAAGCGTACTTTAGGGGCTGCCATGGGATATTCTTCTGGTAAAAAGAGCTCAAGTCTAAACGTGCCGCCCTCAAAAGGTGAGTCCTGAGGTCCGGCAATGACCACATGGAAGTAGCGGGCATTTCCTTCGTCTGGCTCTGCCTTGATGCCTGGGACAGGCTCTGCAAGCAAACGCTGAGTTTCCTGACGGAGGAAAAAACACAACGAATTTAACTTTATAATGGTGCCACCTTATTACCAGTCAGTGTCACGTTTAAGTACTTTCACTTTGCACTGCAAAATGTGTAAGGAGGAATGCATTTGAACGCCATACTTCAGTGGAGGGATGCAACTCCTTGTGTTCAAGTAGGGCAGGGGAGTCAGTGCTGAGACACGACTGCACACACTACTTGAGAGTAATTTGATTTTTAAAGAGGATGCAGCACAGAGCATCTGTCATACCACACAAGTCAGCCATTTAGTTACAAGGGGGCAGAGCAACCAATCTGAATTTTCGTTGTAGCTGTTTCTTTTGTAAATGACAAGTGCAAAAAGTATGTTGATATCAGAGATGAGGTGATTATTACAAGCCATTTTTATTTCATTTTATTTTAATTATGCTTTTGATAGCCCGACACCTATTAACCTGTAAATTAGTGGATGATTTTCAAGAAAAAAAATAAAAAGTGATGTATCCATGAGGCCTTTCCTTTTAGTCTGGCACTTGCATGACTGAGTGAACTTTAGAGCTGCATTTCAAAGCACTGTCTTTTTAGAATTGGTGAAATTTCAGTATTATATTATGTAAATGTCTTGCCTTTTACTTTACTTCCTGTTAGCACTGGTTACAGCCAGCCAGCTAGGCACATTAACATGCAGAAACTTGCTCATTCCAGACCCAGTTGGTGCTCAGTGCAGTAAACTGAGGAGTAGCAACATTAGCCTGTAGGCTGACATGCGGAAACAGTCAAATATATTCTTTGTGGTTAACCATTAACATCCCTAGAAGGAGCATCTCATCAGAAATCCACCACTTTCTGACCTCACCCCTTTCAATTTGAACACATTTTTCCTACATGCTAAACTATATGTCAGAATGAACAACCGCTCAGGAGACGGGGGCCCTTTAAGTTGATCTACATTGATGCCCACCCTACAAAAGACACAGATATCTTCCTCAAAAACGAACAGAAGATTGTGTTTCTCTGATTACTGGAAAGCTTACAATCAAGGTTATCCACAATTTCAATACTTCAGGTACAAAATAAATAATACCTACATCAAAGAGTACTTAGTTGTTATTTGATATTAGTAAAACTTGTTTATCAAATATATCAATTTTACAGAAGCCCTCGCCCACACCTGAGAGCTGCACAAAAGTTGTGAGTCACTATTATTCTCCCAACAGAGATGGTAGGCAGGAGGTGGACTGTAGTCTGCTTGGCTTTTATCCTTTAACACTGAGGGGAGGGTGGCTTTGACTGCAGCAGTGGCTCAATGCTGTGTTTCCGAAGACTCTCAGTGCAGTATGTAACTGTCTTTTAGAGGTGACACTGACTCAGCCAACGCACCACAGGAGACCATTACTTTCATTCCCATCAGCCACTGCAGCAAGGCTCTCCCAACTCATAGTGACAGCCAAGTGACCTACAGAAACACACCTGTGCTGTGAAAGAGGAGCAGGTGTCCGGTATCTCCTGTAGTATGCATGAGGCAGCATGAGTGACACACCTGAGAGATGCCTTTACCAAGAAGCTACTTCAAGCTCACTACTGTGCACGCTGTACAAACTGCAGTGCCGTCAGCTCTTCACTGCACATCCTGCATTCTCCAAACTGTACTGATACTACAATTATCCTACTATATGAAGCTAAAAACCTAGTGTTCACATGTGCCTGTGTGAAACACAGCCTTGTGTGATATCTGAATCACACGTGACATCAGAACTATAAATAAATAACTACATATAAAAAAAGCATCAAATAGTCAGGTCAAGCTCGCCGGCAGCCGGCACTCTTGTTTTCAAAGTTCTTTTTCCTGAATGCAACTGGGAGTGAGATTCCTGAAATGTTTCAGATAACCCACAGACAAAACCATGCAGTGAAAACACAGACGGGAGAGGGGCTCCCAGTCCCAGTCACACGCTCTGAGGGCTCAAGGGCGCTAAGTACTGTTCCCAGCCCTTCCACCTTTTCCCACCACCAATGGTCTGTGGTTTGCTCACTTGCCCACCTGTGCAACCTTCTCTTGGACACCATTCATGCTCCTGTGTTGCTCTCTGAATAAAACTCAATACACGAATCCTTGCAAATACACAATATTACAGCATAGGCGCTGTAAGGGTTCCCCAAAGAAAAAGGAAAAAGGCAGGGGCTTCTGTAAGGCTTGTCTATTATCATTAAAGATATAAAGAAATAGTGGCTGAATGAAAATTAGTCACTATTATGCTCACAAGTTGAAGACTGGCTGGCTTTTCTGTGTTTCATAAACTTATAAATTAAATATTTGGGGGTATGTGGTTGCTGGTCAGACAGTGAAAGCAGTTTCAATACACCTCTCTGGGAACCTAATGGTTTTGACACTTCATAGGCCTAATGATTAATATTTAATTTGTATAATGAAAACATTAATGGCAACAGTCACTGGAAAAATCTTCTGATCACATCAGATAATGCAACAACACCTATGAGCAGCCTGCAATGTAATCAGAGCCCATCTCAAAGTAATGTCCACTGAAATGTTGTAATGCAAATGAAAATGAAAGTACAATAATTTTATTTGCATTACTATCTTTGTAGGGATATGAACCTGTAACACATGACACCAGCTCTTGTAATTCTGGGTTTGCATATTGTAAGGTGCAGGGAAGACAACTCTCCCTAAAGCAAATGACTGGCAGTTACCAGTGACAACACTGTGTCATATTGTTGTATCATAAGGTTCACACCCTCTTTGTTTAGATGGCCAACATTACTTGCTAATGCTCCCCCATACCAGTCTGCAGTGAAAGTGACTTGTAATCAAAGTTTTACACGTTTACGATTTTCTATGTAAGTACAACGTTACCACACGTATGACTAAGATGTGGTGCTAGCGTATCGTTTAACTCACTGATAGCTAACTTACGAACTTCACCAAATAAAAAGCGAAACTGTCCCAAAAGAAAAGACTAGAAGAAGCAAACACGCCATCTTAAGTTAGTGTAGGCTTAAATGAAAAGCATAATACTGAGAATGCATATCAGGCTACCAGGCTAGCTTTAGCTCGACCCTGTTTTATCATTCAACCCATGGATGTATTTAACACAATCAAAGCTAACAAACTAGCCGGGGTTAGCATAGTTAGCCTCGTTAGCCAGCCATTCAGTCTGCACCACAACCTCATCGGAAGCAACTTTAGAACACTGTAGTGCTTGGGAAGTATATTTAGAGACGATAATCCCGGCATTTATCCGCCATTTTCACGAGGGCTTGGTGTATTTTTAACCCGCCGTGGCTCGGTGTATCTGGGCTCGGGAATGAAACGGAAGTTACTTTAGCAAACTAACGTTAGCGAGCTAAATGCTACAGTTAGCACACAAAACCGTTTAAACGGTGTATGTGACGTTAGAGTTTTGGCCATGACAGAAAAGTAAGACGTGCTGCTGCCGTGTAAAGTGTGACATAATTACCTTAAGGATCCTGCGGGGCAGTCCTGCCATCTTGTCTTAAATGCGGGGTTTTTATTTTAGCTCTCAGTATCTCCTCTCTGTCGTTGGCATTGACAGCAAACACACGTCTTCCGGGTTCTCTGCGTCATGGCAGTGGATGTAGCTGATGGAGCGAGGCAATAATTTAAAAATAAAATAAAATAAAGAAAAGGCAGGGCAAGAATCCATCTGGTGCATACATATTACACAAGTAATTATTAATATAATATAAAGGATTAAAAAATACTCTACAGCCCTGCACCTCCTCATAGTGAGCAAAATTTGAATATTCACTGACGAATTGAAAATCAGTTTGGTCTTTATAATAACATATTTAATCACAACATTAGAGAAATATATGTTAATATAATAAATGTAATTTACCCAACAAATCAATTTCTGAAGTAATGCATTAACAACACTTCTGAATTCCCTGGATTTTGTGATACTGGCAGAGAAACAAATTTAAGATTTCTTTTTAAATTAATTTGTTTAAAAGTTTTTGAAATGAGAAACAGTCATTCAAAGAAAATTTCACAGACTTTATTAAAACAATTGTATTGACATTTCCTTAAACAAAAGACATATTCACTTTAAATTGATGGAGAAAAGGCACACACTGGTGCATAAAAGTTCACCAGAATACAGGAAATCAAGTGTTAAATGCTCAAAATTTCCAGTGGGAGGACTCCCAACCCCCTGTTTCATATGTGTCATCCCCCGATATTGTAAACAAATAAATAAAACCCTACCCCCTTGAGTACAAAGCTGTAGGCCACAAACAGACGGACAAAATAAAAAAATGAAATAAAATAAAATATCTGAGACAATTGTTATTTAGACAGCCTTGAAACCCTTTTTTAAAAAGTTCATTCTTCTTCTCTTTAAGTTTAGCCTTCATAGCTTTGTGAGTACGAGACAAATGACAAAAACTCACACAAATTACGATAATATAATAGCAGCAGTTTTACAACAAGTAATGGATCAAACCATTTAACGCACACATAAATAAATAATAAATAATTTGAAAAGGAGAGTGAGAAAATCCTTTTGTTTTGGAATCTCAATATTATTTTACCACCAATACTAATTATTTCTAATTTTCACAAGTATAACTGTTGAATATGAATACTTTTCCTACAGCTGCTGAGTTGTCATTTTACCCTCCAAAACACTCTTGTTTATACCATTGCATCAGCATGAAGTTTATGCATTACAGCACCAGTGGCACCCCAAGAAAATTTCCAGAGATGTAGCCAGAATGGGGCCACTGAAAAGCTTGGGCTGGCACACGAAAACCAAAAGAGAGTTAAGGAATCATATACTGAAATACTTTAATTTCTTAATTTAAAGTTAATATAACTAATTATCTGATGTGCATTGACTAATACAAGTAGAGCTAACATTCAGAATTCCAAAACAATCCTGTTAATATGTCATGTATCTGCACGTTAGGTAATTTGTTGTTCTTCTAATAGGCTGGTTGTCCATATCCTTAAAAAGTGAAATACACAACTTTAATTTGAAGGAGTGCATTGATTGTAAGGAAGAAAACATTTACTGGGAACAAGCATTCCCAAGTTTAGGAAAGACTCGTTGGTACCTGTAGAACCCATTTTCATTCAGATATCTTGAGATGAGAGTTTAAGGGACCCCTTTGAAAGTGGCCATTTCAGTTGCCAAAATTTAGCCTAACCTTGGAAAGTTATTTAGCCACCTTTCGGACAAGCTATGATGACATGGTTGGTACCAGTGAATGCCTTAGGTTGTCTAGTTTCACGAGATACCACTACCTTCTAGCTTAAAAAATGAGCGCACCACAACCTCTTAAAGACAGTACTATTGGTCTACGTTAGTTTGGGGGGCAGTAGGGAAGCACCTGGGGGCCCCACTGTAAAGCACCTGAGAAGCAGAACTCTAAATTTACCTTGGCTATGCGGATATTAATAAGGCAGCTCATTATTTGGCAGTTTCATTCATTTTCAGTGCTTCCAAATCCAGGACCTTGTTTATCTAAATTGTCTGCTGGATTTGGAAGCAAAAGTTTCTCTGAAGTTGTAAACCCAAACTTTGTGTCCCACTGCTCCTCTATCTGTCTTAGACAAAACAAAGCATGAATTAGACTTCCACGAGCCAATAAGGCTATGGCACAGCTGCATTTTCACTTTTTTTTAGCACTGCTGGCTGAATGGGAGCTACAGATTGGAGGGGACTCGAAGCTCCTCCTCCTGGCATGTCTGTATGGACAGACACATTGTACCTTTGGGTGTCAGGCCTGTTACATGGGCATTAGCTGTGCAGCAAACTAAGAGGAACTTTATTTGAAAACTTGTCTATGTAGACGAAGTCCAGCATGCAATTTCTCTCCCAGCATATCCCAGCAGGTGGGTTTGATATTTCTGTTGGTTTCTCTTTTAAGCATGAAGTGGAAAGAAAGATGTATCTATGTATGATCTTTTTTTTTTTTGGTCTTTTTTTTTGCTACATAACATGGATTTTACTCAACAAGAAAAGAAAAAATTATTGAAATGTTTAAGTGTTATTTTGAAAAGCTGATTTTAATCTTGAGGTGAGAGTATCTGACTCCTATAAAGCTTGTCTTTTGCAAACTCACTCATTTCCTGACACTGACTTTGACTTTTCCACCACAGTTTAGGGCTAAATATCTATCATTAGTGTTTTGTAAAATATGTTATTATTACAGGCAACAGCGGAAACAGCCAGGTGTAAAATCTGAGCCTTTAATTACCACTCATGTTTGTTGCCCTCCAGGTGCAAGGTTTCCACTCATTTAGTTGTGACCATGGAAGTTTGTCAGACCAATCTAAGCTTGTGGCAGTTCATATTGATCTATTTCTGTAAGCAAACATTATGAAATATTAAAGCAAGAATAGCAAATTTGTTTAAAATAGATAATACGTTTCTATCTGAATCAGAATAAGGCATGCTCTCCAATGTAGGTAAAGGTATAATGGCAGAATCACAGGAATGTACACAAACTAAGTCCCTAAAAAATTATTCTAAAAGCTTTTCATGAAAACATCAACATAATATGTAATGACAGATTTTCGGCAACTTATCTAAGAGGTATCTTTTTGCATTCTGCCCTGCCCCACCTCACCAAACCTCCAAAGTTTTCCATTGTTCCACAGACACAGGAACAGATGAACCAGCACCTAATCTAGTCCCTTCTCTCAGTGCACAGAGAGAACAGACAATATCAGCCACATTACAGGGGCTGATGCTCCCACAGATCGATCTCGACAGGGCTCAGCCACACTTCCTTATCAACTTGGAATATTAAATATAGAGGCATTATGAGTTTAGCTTAGTCTGTTGCATAAGACTCATAATATGAGTTGTCAGCAGTAATCATCTTTTTGACCCCTTCAGATTTATCTTCTGACCCCTTTATGAGTTCTGACCATCAGGTTGGGAGCTACAAGATTGGACTTTTACTTTGTACAGCAAAAACCAGAGGTGTGGACTCGAGTCACATGACTAGGACTCAAGTCACAAATCGGAAGACTTTAGGCTCGACTTGAAAAGTAAAAAAAAGACAGCAACTTGACTTGGACTTTAACACCACTGACTCGTGACTTCACTTGGACCCTTTTCTTTGAGTCTTTTGACTAGAAAATACTTGATACCTTCATCCAAAGACTAAAAAGCTGACTCAGTTGAAATTTACACAATTCACTTCCAGCAAGTCGACACTAAATTCTCCAGATCCACTTTTTTAAACCACTCTGACTGCAAACAGTCAAGTTGCAAGGGAGAACCACAAAGAACTAATGTTACTACACTGAAATACAGTTGGAAAAAAATGATACCAAAGCTCATTTTGTTTGTGCACAAAAGCTATGCAGTGGTCAACAAAAAACTAATTGCAGTATGCAAAACATGCAAGTTAAAATTACAGACAGAGATACAACAACTTGTTTTAACAAAAACATTTAAATTTTGAAAAGCATTCATGATTATTGTAAATTTAATATATTATTACTCTGATGTTAAAATGGCATTACATTTTGTAAAATTCACTCTTTTACTTTATTTTATTTTTTCTATTTTCTAATAAAGCGATTACTGTACAGTACACAAAAAGTCAAGGGCACATTAACAGCCAAAAGAGATCATATAAAATAAGAACAAGACAAACGATAAAAACAAAGGGTATACAAACTAATTACACAAACAAAACAAAACAGCAACAACAAAAAACAAAAACAAATGGAAGACACCACGATTTCAAACTAATGGGTAAAAAAAAAGCAAGCAAAAAGAATCTGTATCAACAGATGGATGTGTGACTGACTTTTCAACTCAAACTCAAAGCTTAGGACACAGTACTTGCCTATCTTGACTTGGGATTTGACATGAGACTTGAGTGCAAAGACTTGAGGCTAACTCATGACTTGCCAAACAAAGACTTAGTCCCACCTCTAGTAAATAAAAACAAAAAACATCTCAGATATCTAACTCACTACAACTTTCAGAGACTTCTGTTTGTCATCTGTAAATGTAATTTCTTTGACTTTCTGTTTTTAGCTCGGTGGGGCGCACACCTGGCTTGTGTATTCATCATGATCACCTTCTCTGGACCAGCTTCACCCCTTCACGCCCCTCCAGTGGCCACAGGTCTCCGCTCTGCTTTCTCCGCCACACAAACCAACAGTGTAGTGGGAGGCAAGCAGAAGGCCGTGACCTTCAACAGGCTCATGGTCAACATCGGAGGGGATTTCAGTCCAGACACCGGTCACTTCCGCTGCCGCATCCCTGGGGCTTACTACTTCTCCTTCTCTGTGGGGAAATTTCCAAAGAAAATGCTCTCTGTGATACTGGTGAAGAATGGAGAGGAGGTGCAGGCTATAGCGTACGATGACTACAGAAAGAAAGGGAGGAAAGTTCAAAGCCAAAGCGTCATGATCAGTCTGAAGGAGATGGACACAGTGTGGCTGCGTCTACAGCAGAGTCCTCAGTATGCTCTGTACAGCAATGCTGGCCCTTACATCAGTTTCTCTGGCTACCTCGTCTATCCTGACGTCTCCCCAACCGGCTTCATCAGCAACCACCTGTCCCCATCAGGGCTGTCCTATCCAAACTGCCCCCCTCAGGCTGACCCCTCGGCCAGAGGTCAGACGTCAGAGCAGCCACGGTCTGCCTTCTCTGTGGCGCGGACCTCCACATTCATAGGTCAGAGTATTAGGCAACAGGAGAAGCCACCTCTGACCTTTGATGTGGAATACGTTAACATCGGGGGGCATTTCAACAAAACCTCAGGCCTGTTCACCTGCCACTTCCCGGGAGCTTACTTCTTCGCCTTCACTGTGGGGAAACACCCTCGTAAGGCTGTGTCTGTGAAGCTGATGACTGGGAAGGGCGAGGTGCAGGCGATGGTGTTCGATGAGGACACTTCAAAGAGAAGAGAGATGCAAAGTCAGAGCTTGCTGCTGGCTCTCCGCCGCGGTGACAAAGTGTGGCTGTACAGTCAGCAGGATGAGCGTTACGCTGTCTACAGCAACCAGGGGAGGTACACCACCTTTTCTGGTTTCCTGGTTTATCATGAAGCAGAAACAGTCAGCTCTGAATCTATTAACCCTTCATAACCCCATCTGTTGTTATTGTAGAAAATCTGTAGATCATTTCTATGTTGATGGAGCAGAAGAATAATTAATCTGTGGTCAGTATAGTGTAACTACTTAATACATTTTCTTTACAGTAACTCCAGGGATAGTTGTTGCCGAATGACACCACAAGATGGTGCTATGATACAGTTATTGACACTAACAACATGTAACGTGGTTATTTTTGTCCTTTAAGTGCAATTAGCTGTAAGACATTACAAAAAATGTGTCTATATAACAACTTGTAGATTAAATGGCAAATTTGGGTTTTGTTAAAAGATTAATTTACTTTTAAAATTCTTTGTACTTAGATGTTACAAAAAGTGTTTTTTTACATGTAAAAATGATGACTGCATGGCATGGAATACTATGTAAATGATGTATAGTTTATTAAAACCTACTGACTGTAAAAATAAAATTTAGAATACATCATGGTCATGTAGTGATGACAGGCTTATTGTGTAACTTTTATACTGTAGATATATCTGTATCTGTTTGATGTTTTACATTCAATAGAAAAATAAACAAATTCATACACTTAAATAAATTTAAAAGGTGTTGTGTCTCCTAATGTTAATATGATGCAGCTCACTGTCACTCACTCACTCACTGTCATTTAAATGTATGTTGTCTGCACAAACGTTGATCCTCACTACAACTATTACTACTACTACTGCTGCCACTATTAAATGCTCTGCTACAGTGTCTCTCCTACTGTACGCAGTAGCACCTGTATTAGCACCTAGCCTCCTGATACATTTGCCGCCCACCCTGGCAAAAATGATTGAGGCTGAGGCTGTGGTACTTGCGCACACACTGGTGGTATCTTGTGAAACTAGACGACCTAAGGCATCCATCAGTTCTAACCATGTTGATACAGCATGTCGGGAAGGGGGCAAAATAATGTTCCAAATTTAGGCTAAATTTTGGTGAAGGAACAACTGGCATGTCCATTTTCAAAGGGGTCTCTTGAGCTTTCACCTCATCTGAATGAAAATGGGTTCTATGGATACTCAAGAGTCTCACCTAAACTTGTTTTCTCCCTTACAATCAATGCACTCCTTCAAATTAAAGTTGTACATTTGTCTTTTTAAGGAAAAGGACAACCAGCCTGTCTGATGAACCATGAATTGCCTGACATGTATAGATACGTTGAAATATTAACTAAACTGATATTAGTCCATGCACATCAGATAATTAGTGATATTAACTGTAAAATAAGAAACCAAAAAATATATATGTGTGCACTTCCTTCACTTTCCATATTGACAAAGTTTTCAACTAGCCTATGTACCGCAAAAGCATAAGCAAATTCCTGAAGTTTACTCTTGGCTTTTGGTTTTGGTGTGCCATCCCAAGATTTTCATGTGGCCCCATCTGGCAACCCCTATGAACCCCCATTTCTGGGAGCACCACTGATTACGCCTACCACAATTAACAACAACTACAGCAATAGCAGAGGTATACCAACAAAGACAGACACATATAGAGAAAGAGCTTCATGAAAAAGAGAAAATGGAGGAACCTAACATTAAAGATTCAAACCAATTAACAACTGTAATGGTATTAAAATAGTCCACAATGGCATTAAATATTCCTTAATCATATAAAACTGGCCAAAACGTATAAAAATACATCCTGTGGTTGAGGTGCATTTTCTCTGATACTCCACTGAATTGAAATATTAACAGAGGGTTTCATGTAGGAATCAATAAGGCATAAAAAGTCATTGTTTTTGTTGTTACAGTCTATCTAACAGAGGGCCATATTTCATCTGGGAGACTCTCAGGCATTGACATTTTAATCTTCAGTCAATGTTTTCAGTTCATTGTGATATTTTCAGAAAGATTAAAGAGGAGGAGGAACCATTATTTTCCAGATGTACCAGATGTTGTATCTCCTGTACTCCTTAACAATTGTTTCCTCTGTGCTGACTAATAGGTATGAAAGTAAATGTAAGAATGTTCCAACATACATTTTTTTCCTGTTAATCTGGTTGTTTATTGAGGCTGACAACTTTTGCGTACAGCAAGAACATGTGCAAGTACTGTGAGTTTTACAAATAAAAAATAAACTAAGCCATTATTAAACTCAATGTAATCTAAACTTTACACTTTCTATGAGCACCATCTTTACATTGAATAAGTTTCAGTTTGTACTCGTCCAACTAATAACTTTGGGACTTCAGCACTAAAGAGGATTTTTCCAGATCCCACCTTTGAACACTTTCCCCTTTGCACTGAAAACTCTGTCACAACATCTCAACGATGAGACTGAGTCTAAGTTGGCTGAATCACACAGTGGACAAACACGATGATGTTGTGAGTCATTAAAAATACACGAGCAGAATAAACACAAACAGTACTCTAAACCATTCAAAGAGTCAGGACTGATGGCAGCAACAGGTGATGCAGGGATTTCATTCCACATCCTCACATCCTCCAGTATAAATATGCCCTGTAGTCGTAGGATGACTGTCTTGCAAGTTGAAATGTTCGTGCTATCATCCCTTTGTTACGCCTTTCTCCTGGTGTGTCACTGCACGTCCCAGATCTCACAGAGCAGCGGTGTAAATTTGTGGTCGTTCATCCTCCAAGACGTGAGCATCTCTGCGTGGTAGTGGCTGAGTGTTCTCAGCTCCGTCAGACGGCCCAGGAGACGAGCAAAGTACTGCGGCTCCTGTGGGTGCTGCAGGACACACAGCTTCCTCAGCACGTCCAGCATGGTCTCCTGAAGTCTCTCGACAGCCTCGTGATCCTTCACATAAGGCCGATCTGGAGAGGATGATACATTAGCCTATTTTAATATCATAAGAATGTAGAAGACACGCCTTATATAGTGTCATTACAAAATACTTGTGGATCCTTAGAAGCTGTTGATGCTGGCTCACCTGGTGTTAGGATGGTTATAGTGGTGAGGAGAGCCTGTTCCTCCACCGCCATGTGGAGTTCACCGATGCTTTTGTAAAAGTTGAACATGGGTGTCGTGAATACTTCTGATATACCTGCAGAGAAATATGTCATAAATTTTCCCAAAACATACGCTGAATAGGCACAATCAAGCTCCCCTTAAAACCCTTTGATAAGGTAAAGTTAAACACAGACCTCAGATCAGTGATAACACAATGAGCTGTCTGTTAAGCCCCAGTTTAATTACTTATAGTGGTTTCAGCACATATACAACGCTGCATTAACCATAAGCAAGACAAGACGCTTTGTCACACCCCTCAGTGTGTGATACCACGGCTGAAGGCACCCTTTGGTGTCTGGTTGGATGTGATTAAACAAATGCAGACTTTCATCCAGGAAGAGACGGCTGTTCCTGTCCCATGGTTGATTAAAAATCAATGGTGTTTTAACATATTGTTAGGTAACTCGTGTCCCTTTGTCACGAACTGATGTCACTCACCTGACATACTTACATCATGTTATGTACTTATTTCAATCCAAAACAGCATTTTTTTTCTAAACCTAACCAAGTGGTTTTGTTGTCTAAACCTAACCTAAACCAAACTTTAACTACATGTTCCAACGAGTATGCATCTCATAGAGATGCCAAAGGGTGTCTTCTGCATTGGTATCATATGCAAAAGGCACAACAAAGTGGCAGCCTGGGATAAGAGCGCATTGGGATCAAAGATAAGTGGTTACAACACACACGACAGAAAAACAGCATGAGTGAAATTGTCAAGAGCAACTTTTGTTGTTATCAATCACGAGATTATGACTTTTCATTTTAAATGCTAACTATCTTCATAACTTTCTCATATGATTACCTCACATAATAAGAAGTGATCTGTATCTGTATCATAGACTGTAAAAATAATGGACATAGCTACTGTGATGTCACCCACTGGTTTGTGAACTCCCATTTTGAAGCCTCAAGTTCGACATTTTGGGTGTCGCCATGTTGTTTTTTTAGAGCCAGAAGTGACCATGTTTGGGCAAGAGGCTGGACTGTGGAGGTGCAAAGGGGTGGATCTGAGTGAGAAGCCGAGACCACTATCAGCAGACGGCCTGTCACTCAAAGCGACCCGCCCTTCGTTATGTGCAACTTTAAGCCTCAACAACATTTAAATGGGTAAGTTATATAAACATTCAGCCCCTGTATAGTTGTCATGAGCAGGAAAAATAGCTACAGAGACCAAAACTGTTTTTTGTTCCAGCTATCATGACCTGTCAAGCCCCTTGAGTTCATGTTTTTTTTGTCATCCCTGTGTTTCCTGTTTTATCTAAGTAACCATTGTCTAGTCTTGTTTCAGATCCCACTACCTGTCAAGTTTCCCTCCTTCATGATTACTTGCCCTGCCCTAATGTATTTCACCTGTATCTCAGTGTATTTCACCTGTGTCTCATAAGCCCTTTTTAAATAGGAATTGTGCAAATTTGCAGGAAAGCCCAATCAGTCTTTTTTCAGCATTGGCAGTATAAAAACAAAATCAGGGAATGTGGCAAAATGCCGCCTGCCTACTTTTGTTTATATAGAATGTGCCTTTTTCGGGGCAATGGGGGGCGTGAGCAAGTAACAAAACGTGTAGCTCAGCGTGTGACGTAACCAGTGACGTGGGAGGGAAGCCTTGGCTAGTCAGTCCTTTGGCGATTCTCTCGTAAGTCGATCCGTTCTTCACCGTTCCCAACATCTGACGGTTAATGGCCTCTTCATTTGCGAGGACAAGGAGGGCGCACAATTCCTTGTCTCCCCAGTTGCTCATCTTTACAGTGTCTGTCAGGTTTGCGTTTCCCTCTTGCTACTTGCTGCTCGCTAATTCCTGCTATCAGCTGTTTCCTGTTTATCAACTGCCAGTTGCTCGCATGTGCGGCGTCATCAACAGCTCCTCCCACAAGTCATCAACAGCCCCTCCCGTTGTGGAAGGGCGCCTCGGTCTGTTTAAACCAAAAAGGTTCTGCCAATATGACTACCCTACGAGGCGGAAAATTGAGCACCTCGGATCAACTTGCCAGTCCGGCTCTGTGTGTCTAAACGCTAGCACCTTGCCGGCAAAACGGCCCAACATTCATGGAAAATCTGGCACTTTAAAAGGGGCTATTGTCTCCCTTGTCTTAGAGTATTTAAGTTTCTGTCTTCCCCTTCTTTTTTGCCAGATCATCTTTACCATTGAGTGAGAATTCCAGCGTTTTTTCCCAGTGTGTCTTGTTAGTGTGTTTTTGACCATTTTTGCCTTTTGTTGTAGAATTAGGCATTTTAAAACAGCAATCTATGGGGATTGACTCCCCTCTGGAGCCAGCGCCATGTGGCCGTTCAAATATCTGCAGTTTTTTGCACTTCCACAATGGCTTTATTTTTCACCACTTGAGGTTGCCGCTTGGTTTGTATGCAGATGATGTTAGTCTATATAATGCTCATGTGACAAACTAATCTGATGAATGATGGTGCAAATGTTGCGCAAAAAGCAATGCAGGACAAAGAACAGTCAACACATGGTGAAGAACAAGGGTACAAAACATTACAGGAGGAAGAGCAGGCAAAAAGCAGAAGGATCCCATCTTGCATAACAGTCTGCACTTTGAGCCAGGATACTCAGTCAACAGTCTGCCCTAATCTGTTATTATTCTTCACATGATGATCACACATAATCACAAAGAAAATAAACTCGAGCTCACACAGAAAGGGAGCTGCAAGTCTACCTCTCCCAGTAAAGCAAATATTCTGTGGTGTTGCTTACACACTGTGCATTTCTGACCCGTTATCTAGCGTTTTTTGTTCAGTAATCATTCAAACAGAACTGGAGAAGAAGACAAGACAGGAAGAGGAAAATCAAAAATGCAAAATAAAGGGTCAGATCAGGGTGAAGGCTCCTTTATGATCAACATTAGATACGTATATGGACATGGACGGAGCCTTCTGTCTATTTTTTGTGTTAATTTTGTCCAAATTTGTTTACATTTTGTGAATGCTTACACACAGACAAAACTGAGCAGTAGCACAGGAAATTATCGGGGCAGTGTAGCATAGTTCAAGCGAGATTCGACCGTACGATACGACAAAGACATTTGAAAATGGCATAACTGAACGGATCAGTAATACTGTGAAAAGAATGCTCTTCTCATGCACTGTTCGTACGTATAGCTAGGAAAAGTAATGCAACACAATTCGTGTTTAACCCACGTAATAAGGCAGACCATTGTGACCATTTTGTGATGGGGGTAAAGAAGAATTAGTCTGCATTAGGAGGCTTTTCTTCTTTAGGTAATGATTCAACATTAAATAAGGATGGTTATTACAAACTACTCTCTATATAACTTCAAATGTTTGCATTCACTTTGCTCTTGCACACTGGCAACAGTTCCTACTTCTGATGCTCTTCAGTCTAGCAGAGGCTGTCTGTCTGCTCGGACACATCATCAAGCATTCAGAAATGCCAGCGGGGCTCAGAGGGAGAGAAGTGGACAATAGCACTCTTGATGTTTTGATAAGGAACAATGGTCTCTTCAGACAGCTTTGCTCCCTTATTCTCCCAGACTGGCCTTTAGTGTGAATGTCTCTTATCCCCACCATTCACACACCAGAGCTGCGCTGAGGGACCCAGCGCCTCACACACACACGCTCCTGCCATCACTGTCTGTCTAACTGTCCAACGTGGTTGACATAATGACACCTCGCATACATATAAATGATTTCTTAAAACCACCAAGCAGCAAACTAGTTGATATGGGACATACTGTATGTGTAAATATAGGCTGCAAATGAAATATAGGAAACAACTTATATGGGTTTCAATAAATGAAACACGATGCCACTGAAGAGCTGCTGGCTTTGAATGCTCTCCTCTACCTGCCGGCATGCCCACACACACACACACACACACACACACACACACACGCCTAAACTGAGTGTAACTGTACCCAGTGAGGGTGTGTGTGCATGTGTAACCTACACCCAGCCAGAGATCAACAGGTCAGCACACATCTCCCAGCTGCATCACACAGATCAGATCAATTATTAAAGGAGGATCTGACTAGACCTGACAGCCCGGCTGCAGGTGGAACTACAAATGTCACCATGCTGCATGTGTAACCTGCTGGAAGAGCAACGCACCAAAGACTCTTGAAGGTCATGAATTAGGAGTAAAGTTATTCTACTTTCACACTTTGAAATGACATGGCCGTGGCTCAGTAGGTAGAGCAGGATGTCAACTAATCAGATGATCAGCGGTTCAACCCCAGACTCCTTAAGTCCGCATGTTGAAGTATCCTTGAGCAAGATACTGAACCCCATTTTGCTCTGACTGCTGTTCCATTGGTGTGTGACTGTGTTAAAGCTGTGTAACAGGTGACACCGTATATGGTAGCCTTGGCCACCAGTGTGTGAATTCGTGAATGTGACTCGTCGTGTAAAAAGCGTTAGAAAGGTGCTATACAAGTGCAGGTCATACACAGTATGTTCTATGAAACAGTGCCTCACATTTTATGGATCACTTCATAGAAATAGAATGAGAGCACTGCATCCATTGTAACAACCTTAACTTCCGTAGAACAGACTGACTTGCATCACGTTGCGTACTCACTGAGGTGAGGTTTGCAATAAGGACCAAATGAGCAGTGGACTAGCTTCCTGTTTCTTTTGCCATTATTTGTATGTTTGTTGAAACATGATGTAACGCTACTGTAGCTGTCTCTGAAACAAGTAAGAGTCACAGCTCAGTGGACAGCTAAGAGGCAGAGACTGCAGGGATAAACAAAGTGCAGGTCAACATATATTCTCATCGAACTCAGTGAACTAAAGGGGAACAACAACTGAATTGAAAATTCCAATATGAACATGAGCTACTCTCTCTCAAAGCCAGAAACCAGAGAAGTAAGTCTCAACTTGTTATGGCATCAGGTATAAAGTCTGGAGACAGACAATGAATGGGAGCCTGATTTGATGGTGTGGCCATTTCTTTCTCTTTTTTTTTTTTTTTTTTACCTAAATGAGCTCTTTTCGGTTGTACAGATCTTAGTCCTGAAACAGAAAATGTACCCATATACTCAGATCATTGCTCTGGGTGCTCTCTGTGTCATCTCGAAAATCTTTCCCAATTCATTGTCTGTTGAGCAGCTGCAGACTTTATACCCTATGACATCATAAATTAGAGTTTTAGCAACCTGGTTGTTGGATTTAGGAGAAAGATTTACTAATGTTTACCAATAATTTTGAACTCTCTTAGACCATAGTAATGGACCTGCCACTCTTCCAACCACTCAAATTGCTTTTTACACTACAAGTCACATTAACCCATTCACACACACACTCACACACTGGTGGCCGAGGCTACATGTACACGTTGCCACCTGTTACGCAGTAATAAATCTGCATGCTCTCACACACCGATCGAACAGCCATTGGGACGAATTCGGGGTTCAATATCTGGCCCAAGGATTCTTCTGCATGCAGACTGGAGGAGTGAGGGGATTGAGCCTGCTGATCTTCCGATTGGTGGACGACCCGCTCTACCTCTGAGTCACAGCAGTCCCAAACATGAATGATTTTTGAAAATGGGTGTAGTTCCCCTTCAGGAGTTTATTTCGACCAATCCAACAGAGTTGGTGATTGTTGGAACGGCGGACTAATGAATTGATTAACAAGACTAACTAAGAGGGTTTTGAAGTGTTTTATTTTGTTTTAATCGAGTTTGATTTAAGTGCGTTTTATGATGAGTTAAAAAGGCAACTACGCTATCGTTAGTGTAAGTTTGCTGAGAGAGAGAAACTTGGATTGGTGTATGGTTGTATTTTTTTGTTTAATAAGGAAAATAGGTAAAAGAATAGGCCAAAACAGAGTTCTCAAACCAGTGAATGTCACACCATTTACAGCCTCACTGATGTGTTTTGTCAACACAACAACTAGTCGCCATTTTCTTTTGTATTTGTCAAACAACCACGCAACATTTTATTCTATCATTCTTATTTTCATGGGATCACTTCAGTCGACTCACCGCTCTTGCGTATCCTCTCCTCCAAAAGTTCTGTGTGTCCTTTGGGCATCTTTCTGTTGAAAACCTGAGCTGAGCGCAGAAACATGGCCTCCACAGCCGAACCCTTCAGCAGAGCGATCTGATCCTCACGATCCAGAGACAGAAAGCCTGCCAGAGGTGTCACACCACTCATTACATCCCGCATGTTATCATCCATGATCCTAGTATTATAACAGACTATATTCTATACAGGGTTCCCACACTTTTTCATGAACGTGATTTCAAAACTTTCCCATGACTTGTCAAAGACTCATAATAATTGTTTTGTTTGTATGTTTTGCCGGGCGTTTTTCAAACATATCAGATTTAAACTCCAGTTAAACATAATTTCAGCTCACTTGCAAACATGAATAGAGAGGAAATGTGGGGAGAGAAATCCAGAAATGTACACAAAACATTGTACACAGAAAATACACATGCCGTCATGTTAAATTACGTGTAAGGCTATCCATGTCAGATTACTGTAACAATTCATTACACACAACAAAATTCCACGACTTTTCCAAAACTTTGAATTATTTTTACCACATTTATGACTTTTACAGGCCTGGAAAATGTGATTGTAAAATTCTGTCACTTTTCCATGACGTGGGAACCCCGTCTGTAAGACTTTCAAAACAGGCAACAATACCTGGAATGTTTTTTGTAAACTCCACCAGAACTTGAACTTGACTTGTTGCCATTTCTGTCAGTAGCAGGAAGTTTTCTTCTGCGCTGTACTGTTCTTGTAGCTGGAGGTGAAACAACACAAGAAAACAGTGTTGGAAAAGATCAGATCGACCAAGCTGCATAAAGTCTACCAGCAGGCTACTCAACTATGATTAGTGGCAATAAAGATCAAAGCATGTCATCATGTGAACTTGAGTTTCTCAAATTTAGACAGACTAATTTATTGGATCTTTTATCATCAATAATTCAAATAGAGAAAAGTAAAGAAAAGTGAAGTTTGAAGTGATATTGAGGGTAATTTACCAGCTTTTTGGCCACGTCTTGAGGAATTTGATGTCTGTTGTAAGCATCTACGATGGCACTCACAAGCGCCTGCTGCTCTTTGGTGATTTCCACTTTTTCCTGAACAGACAACAAAACCCATCGTTAAGTGGTGACACATTATTTGTCTCAGTTTATATGAAATACTCAGTGAATTTAAAGGAAAAAAAATAAGATGGAAAAACTGCAACTGGTTGTGATCACCTTTGACAGTTTGGTGGTTGAGGTGACCTGTTTGCTGTCCGTGTTGTCCGCGCCCTCTGTCTCGTCTCCAGTCGACTCTCCCGGGGAGGCCTTGGTGTTCTTCCGCAGCCTTTTAGACTTACACTGGATCTCTGTCAGCAGGCCTGCCGGCGGTGATGAAGGCTTCACTATGTGTGTTAAATACCTCACAGCTCTTTAATCAACAGCATTTGCAAGTGTTCATTTTCATTTATAATGAGGCCGTATTAACATTAGAAACCAAACGGCAGAGTGGAATGAGAATCCTAACTGTAATGTTCTGCCATTAATATTTCAACAACATATATTATGTGCAGTCACTTATCCATAAGTTGCAGCTCACATTTAAATCAATGCATAATTTATTGATTTATTGTCTTGTTTCATTAAAGTCTACCTTATTGTTTTTGTTGTTTTACTTTTGCTGCAGGACTGGCCACATTTTCCATTAAGGGAAAATATATTTTCATTTAACCATCCTTTGAGTGATAACTTGTTCTCACACTAATGTATGAATGTAAAACCTTGCTAGTCCAGCCCTGTCTCCCATAAGTTATGTTTCTATACAACTAATGTGAAACAGCAAATGTGTTCTGAGGGAAATGTTATGCAGCGCAAATTACGTTTTCTATTAAAGACATTAGAGTCTTGTTGGCTCATAATTTCTTGCAGTTCAATGAGGAAAAGACAGACATCCTTCTCTTTGACCCCCCACAACCTCGATCACGTTTTCGCCTACATCAGACCACATGCAAAGAACCTGGGTGCTGTATTTGATGGTGATCTGAGTTTTAACAGGCAGGTAGATTTTGTCAAAACCATCTCCAAAATTGGCATTTCCCATCACCAACTAATCTAGTTAAAAAAACACAGCTGCCCAGTTATTAGAAGAAGAAGAAGAAGAAGAAGAAGAAGAAGATACACTTTATCAATTCTTGAGGGGAAATTAATTTTTTGTCACTATGTCATTATTTTTGTCATATGTGCACAGGCTTGAAAAACACACACAAACCAGATCTATACGTGCATTAAATGGAGAGATGATGGAGCAAGGGGGCTGCCTTGAACGGGTGCCCCGAGCAGCTGGGGGTTCTGGGGGGTGGTATGTTTTGAAACATACAACTCTAATTTCTGGGAGACAGGCTGGCTAGTCCTCTACGTTTCTGTCTGACTTTCTAAGTCCTAATAAAAAATGAATTTCTCTCGTAAACAAGATTTGAGAGGAAAGTAAGAAGAGTGAACTCAATCTCTCATGTAAATTAGCATCTGTCTTTTCACTCCATGACTGAAAAAGTCTACTTTGTGGAGCTCTTATTGCTCCAGTGGGTAGAGTCATGAAGGCCTGCCACCCTGCAATATTCATCACAACGTGCCTGCACTATTTATGAGCAACAGGAGTCCAGTCCATCCTCCTGTTCTTTGCTACTGACAGCTCCTATAGACCCAATAACTAATCGTCCTCCAACGACTCAGAAGGTACATGTTCACAACTTCTGTCTTCATATTGAGGTATCTTATAAGGTAGCTTATGAAAACACAGAGGGTGACATTCCCAAATAGAAAGGTGTTCAGAAAAAAAGACTTAATGGCAAATTCCTTTTAACAATATCAGCCTCTTTGAAGGTGTTAATTCCTCCTAAATGGATCTTAAGTTGTCTGTTTAACTGCTTCTATTCCTGTAACAGTAACAAAAGCTGGACCTTTCTGTTGTGTGATATGTGGCATTTAATCCTCCAGTAAAATTCAACAGGCCGTGCCAGAATGGAAAATGAGGCAACCTTCGACAGCCTCTCTCTTGACTCCACTAAACAAACAGCAAAGTGTGTGCATGTGGATGGTGCAAATCAGTTTGAATTGATGGATGACAGTGAGTAGAAACAAGTCTACAATTCTTTCATTCCCTGTCGCATTGATTACCGATCGTTTCTGCATTCAATCAGCATGAACAGGAATGAGAGTCTCTTAACGATCAGTGATACTCACATTCAGCCAGCATGCCCATCTCCTTGCACTTTCTTAGCCGACACTCCTGGCATTTCCTGCGCATGTACATGTCCATCTCACAGTTCCCGCCACTCTTGCATTTGTACACAGCGTTCTTGGTTATGCTCCGTCTGAAGAAACCTGAACGTGGTTGACAAAACAAGGAATTATCACGAGCCAGGTACAGAAGAAGCTGATACAAAGTCAAGCATTTTCTGTTGGTCCACACTTTAGTACAGAGCTGGAAAGTGACTGAAGTGAAATGGTAGGCCTATATAATATTCCTAACTATGTTTTATTTAGTTTATGATCACCTGAAACTAAGAGTCATTGTGTCTTTTGTTACCTTATACTGAGCCGTTTACATCGACATACAGAGCAGGTTCTCTTCCACAGAGTCATGTTGTTTCTACAGTAGCTAAGAACAGACAAACCAAACACTGGCTCTAGACAGGGCCATTCACATTTTCACGTTGACCACCATAGTTCTCCTACACACTTAGCACAGGGGAGAAGTTTCAGTTTTACAGCCTCACCACTATATGCCACTAAGTCCTGTGCACTAGACCTTTAAGTACTGTTCATTCCCAAAGTGCTTGTGCTTAATTATTTCCATTTAATACTACTTTATACCGCTACTCTGCTCTTCACTCATTTTTCTAACAACATTAAATGCCAACTATGGTTACTAGTAACTTTGCATTTATCTTGTGAACATGTCTGAATGATCTCCACCTCGACCAACAGCAAGAGTAAAAGACTGCTTACCCAAAATGTATCAGGGACAATAATAAAGTAATAATAAGTATATATCACAGTATAAAACAACACTATGAAAGAGTCCATTCTGCATATTGAGTACTTGTAGTTTTGTATATCAGATTGTTTGGATTTTTTTTTCCACTTGGGGGCAGCAGAAACAACAAACAAAAAACTGACCAATTATCATCTTTTAACATGCTAGCAACAATTTATCTATACACCCAGTGGACACGGAGCAACATTATCATTCATCTGGACTCATGTTTCTGGCCACCCAATGAACCTGTGTCAAATATTTACTGTCCTTTTAGCTCTGGTTTTGGTCTCCACCAAATCCTGCAGGAAATATTTGGCTCTTCAGCTACTAAATGCTCCATGAAGGCCCTGTTTACAACACCATGTATCTTGGGTGATCTGATCACAAATGGACGGTTCTAAGTACAGGTGAGAATGCACCCGATGCACCCTCAATGTGTCTTGAGATTTGATCGCTCGGACCACATTTGGAGGTGGTCTGGCCAGTACATGGCCACATTCTTTCAGCAGCATGTATACTAATGTATCCTGGGCCACATTAAAAGACCGCCTATTCAACTGATGTCCTGTGGCTATCACAGCAGAGACAGAAGTCCTGGCTCTCCTTTTGATCATCCTTTGTTTCATTCCCAGTTGGCTCTCAAATCATGTAAGCTAGCTTTGTCCATGACATCTGAAAGTTTCAAAAAGTGTGAAAAAAAGAGTTATTTTACAGGCAATCTGGAAATCCATTGGTTTAAAAAAAAAAAAAAAAAAACACAGCCCAGAGTTTTTCGACTAACGGAAGTGCAGGGGCCTCGGCGATCGCTCACGCCCTTCACTTCTGGTGGTGTCCCCAGGGAATCGCCATGTTGTTTACAAATACTTAGGGTAGAAAACCAACAGAGTTTAGCTATATGTCACATTTTTCATGTCACTATATCACCGTTTAGACTAATCTGATGTTTGTAAAGTCTATAAACACAATGATTGAACAAACATTACTATTTCTGTGTGCACGATTTGTAATTAATAATATGGTTATCGTAGATTAGCTGGGCTAACCGTTAGCTGTTAACGTTAGCCGTTAGCGGTGTCTGTAATAACCATAGACTATAAAAATAAGGTAATAACTCAATAAACGGTTGGTGAATAAAATATTTTTTCCAGCAGATATCTTAGTTACAACATGATTGAGCTAGCAAAGCAGTTTTGTGTTGCTATGTGTGGTATTTATTCAGTTATGGGAAATCATGATGTCTAGAAAGCATCAGTGGCTGCAGCTGACAGGGACAGTTAGCAAAGCTAACATCAGGACATCATCTGTTAAAATCCTCCCGTTGTCGGATACGACATGAAACTACTCCAGTTAGCTCAATCATGTTGTAACTCAGACACCCGCTGGAAAAAATATGTTTTTTCACTTGACGAGATGGCGTTTTGGGTGGAGCGGTTGCTATGGACGTGGAGCTTGCTGTTTCTGTAGGTACACATTTCCTGGGGACACCTGCACGTCTTGGCCATGCCCCCTCCATTGTGATTGGCTAAAGTGCAGCATCGTTCAAACTCAAAGCCCCCCCCCCCAGTCGTCTTTCACACAGGGCTGCCAACAGATTCTACAATGTAAATTGCAGAATCTGTCTTGAGAGATTATATTACAGGTGATTCAAACTTCTTGGGCAATTTGGGTTGCCTGGAACACACCAAATATTAAACCCCATCTGTATTGCACACCTGCCGGTTAAAAACGACAACGTATTGGGGGCAAATTCAATCTGAAGACAGTGTGAAACAGTGGGCAAAAAGCTTTGAGGCTTTCTCTTGTTTGGAGAGTGTGTTGGAGGTCATACCCAATCAGCGGTGTCGTGTATATAAACCCACAAAATTAAAAAGGCAGTGTGCTTGCGTAACACAACATACACAACAGTGTGTTCGACACACCACCATTTACGTTTAAACGTTTTGTTACATTTTGTCGAGGCTGAACACCAGGTCAAACAGAAATGATGTAGGTGTTAATTCGCATATAAAGCAGGAAAGTGAGAACTGATCACAAGTGGTGTCTCAAGTTGCATGTAGAGATGCATTCTAATGCCAGGTGTGAGCAGACACATGTAGAGCTGTCCACTTGTGATCAGATCACCCAAGATGCACCTTAACACCATGTGTAAACAGTGCGGTTCACCAGCTAGTCATGTGCTGTGTCTGTCAGGCGTTCGGTGCTGTGCAGGTAGCGTGCAGCTGGGTTTTAGTATTTTTTTTAGTGAAAACAGCTGACTGCTGGAGCTCAAAACACAACAAATGAGAACAATGTGAGTGAATCACATTGCAGACCAGAAAACTAAAACAATGAGATGGCAAAATGCTCCATAGAGCTGATTATATATACTGATTATAGCTGCTTTAAGAATATTTGGTAGATAATCCTTCTACACTTGAATTTTGGATTAAGGACTTGTCATTTTGGTAGTTCTACTTTTACATATATTAAGTAAAGAATCTGATCTTTTTCTGTCATGGCTCAGTTTGTACTTCATGCAGATCTCTAGTTATGTAACCAGAAAGGGTCACTGACAGGCTGATATAAATGAAATTGGTAGGTTACACACAGTTCTAATAATGTCACAGAGAGAATCCTGTGAACCCGGCTGGCAAGGTCCCAGACATTGCAAAACACACAGACACACAGACACAGACACACACACACACAGAATAACTTTGGAACAGTTATTAGACATTCTGACATCGAACATTAAGCAGAATGACATGCATTAGCGTAACTGAGCTCAGGTTGCTCCTGCTTTGTGCTGCAGAAAGCTGAGAGGGAACCCAATCTGGCAGCAGTAGCGGGTAGACCTGAACCTATTCTCAGTCAAATGGCAGGAGAGGCCAGCCGCTGTGCTCCTGGCATTGTCCAGCCTCACAGTGTGGAATTACACTCATATCCATTCACTCGCTGCGTTGGCAGAAATCACGACAAATTCACAGTGTCATAAAAACACGGGGGCCACGACTCCCCTGTCACCAAATGGATCGTTCTCACGTGGAGAAGGGCTGTAAAGTCACTGTAATATTTTCTCGTGGTTTGTTCTCGTTAAATCAGCTCTGATATTTTATTTAGCTCAAGAAGTCAGAGCTGACGTTGATGTACTGTATGATTGCATGGATTTACTGCCTGTCCCTGGCATGTAATTAAATATATGATCGACAGCTTTATGCCACTGTGTACAGCAGTGGCAGTGATAGCTGTAAAGTATGATTCAACAACCTTTAATCTGTTTTTATCAACAGGCAAGCACACAAACAGGAAATAAGATGCAGCAACGAAGCATATTCCAGACAAAGAATTGCCACTTATCTGCCCCTTGGTCCGACCTAATAAGCGCAAACAGCGTGACCAGTTCTCTTGTATTAATTAAAAATGACAGATGTGTTAAATACTCCTCACCAGCTGCTGTCTGGACTGTAGATATGAACATCCCTGTCATAGGTGGCCTCTAAAGTCAACAGCTAAACACAATAAGACCATTTTTTCTCTGTGGGTCAAATGTCACTCTCCGCTATCGCAGCCTTCATCAGTGCCCAGACATGTACTTTAAACCGTACAAATCCCAGACACTCTTTTGCAAACAAATGCAAGCACTGCATTTAAATCCCAGCTCACTGCAGCGCCTCACCTTTACATCCCTCACAGGTAAGCGCGTTATAGTGGTATCCAGAGGCCTTGTCTCCACACACCACACACAGTTCCTCCCCTTTGACCCTTCCAGCCTGCGACATGTGCCGTGTTCTCTTGCACACAGTGGGCACCACAGCAGACACCTCCTCCATTTCAGCATCATAGCCGACCTCCAGGGGTCCTTTCCTCAGTTCATATATCCCTGTGTGTGAGTACCATTCGTCTCCGTTGTACTGAGGGTAGTAGTTCTGACTGGAGTAATATGGTGTGGAGGGCATGGTCGGCTCCATCGATGGATACTGCATGCTGGGATAGCTGGCGAAGGGCAAGATGTCGGTATCCTGCAGGAGAGGACTGCCTTGATCTGCAAGAATATCTGAGAGAGAAGATAAAGAGGGACTTTAAAACTTTTTAAAAACAACAAACAGAATCTTAACTCAGGTCCACTTAATTATTTTACTTAGTTTTTAGTTGTGGCTTGTGGCCTCCTTTAGTGAATGGAGATAAACTGTCATGAAACCACATTATTATCGTCATTCTCACTGTACATGCTGCCACTTGGTGACAAGGTTTGACTTTATAATTTTATGGGACGCAAACGCCACTCTCCCAGGTGAAAGTCAGTGTTTGTTGCCTTGTTTGTCTGTTCTATGTTCATTATGTCTATCTTCATAGTATCACTCAGTGCTTATAATGCAGTTATTGTAAAGCACTCCGTGCTGCATTTCTTGTGTAAAGGTGCTATATAAATACAGTTTTATCATTATCATGATAACATGGCATAAATATGGAACCAAGTAATAACTGCTGAAGTTATCTCCATGTGAGAAAACTTGAGTTGATCTTAAACTACCCATTTCAAGGCCAAGACTTAACTTTCACTCTTAGTGAAGTTGATATAACACAACATAATAAAACTTGGACAACCATAGAGTATCAGAAAGCAGCCAAATACCAAAGGAACTTCATTTAGAATAATGTCAAGTCAGTATGAGTAAATTTACTTTTAGATCCCAAAATTAAGTTTGTTTCAGAAAATGTAAAATATGTTGAAGACACAAGTTATTAAACCAGCAATAATACATTTTTGGGGGCACGTTAAGGTCCAGTGTGTAGGATTTAGTGACATCTTGTGATGAGGTTGCAAAACTGAAAGTCTCCTGTGTGCCAAGCGTGGGAGAGAATTACAGTGGCCAATTTGAAAACGTGAACGGCTCTATTTGGAGCCAGTGTTTAGTTTGTCTGTTCAGGGCTACTGTGGAACAACAGGGGGCTTTACAGTCTGTGCAACATGATACTTCATGTGAAATCATGAAAACCTCAGTTTTCATAAGGAAAAAGTGCACAAGACAAGTTTATTGCAAGTGCCTCTCTGCAGAAGCTTGTAAGAATAGGAACTGGCTCAGCAGTAGTCGGTAACACACACAACTCATATTATAAACCCATAAATGATTAACAAAGTGCTTGCACAGAGAACACTGTGTCTTTCAGAATCACATGTAGCCTCTTTTGGATGTTTCAACTGTATCCAAGAATAGTTGTCAGGATGAAAATGTTGTTTTTATCATCACTGATATTAAGAACAAGTGCAGCGTATTCACAACATGATACCCCCTTAGAAAACAGCCAAAAGGCAATGGTTTGAAAGACCACGTGTAGTTTACAAGAAGAGACACTCACATTAAATCTGTTCTTAAAATAAACTGACACACTCAACACAAATGCAGCACCTGTAGAGTACATGTAATACTGACCTCTTGAAGACTTGGTGTGGACCATGGCCATCTCTGTGTGACCGAACATGTAAACTATCCAGAGACTTCACTCTCTGACCCCAACTCTCCAGCTGTGGTTTGTAGATCGGTATTTCCTTCACCTCTAACTAACAAACCGTCTTCCATTAATTTATCTATTTATGTTGGGATAGACGTGAAACAGCAGATCAAGTACTGAACTCCTTGGCGTTTGCTTGAGAAATCCCAAGAAGAGCAAAGGTTGCCACGGCTACTCATTAACCAAGCAGTCACATTTCTTTACATCATTTCAAGTAGCTGGCTAATGACTGGAGTCATTTCCAGATTTGGGCAATGGTGCCAGCTGACTGCCGCTGTATGGTGCTGCTTAAGTTTGTAAGCGACCAGACATAAATTTTTCTTTTTTTTCAATTGGTTCAGTCAAGTTGTCATTCGTATTGCAACCACTTGGAGTGACAGAAGATTTTAATCATTGGTCTGTTATCATTAGCTTTCTATTCCACTTCCCTGCTTGCTTTCTAACCAGTGAGTTTCACTCACTCTCAAATGCAGCACATCGTGTTACGGTGTCACAACTCACTCTGACAGGTTGAAGGTGTGCCTTGTGCGTGAGTCAGCCTATAAAAGAAGTGAGTTCATTGGTTGTTGTGACTATAACTGTACAGATTAGCCTCACACCACACTATCTGAGATCCTAATAGAGTGCCCCAGGGATGACGCTTTTCTGTAGGCCAATGCAGAAGATCACACTGGTTCCCTCGTCAAAAACAACTCTTCACAAATGAACACCACTTTCATGATTATTGAAGCCTAAATGCAATGGCCAGATGTAAAAAGCTAATGATAGGCTATAGACAAACTACGCTACGGTCTCTTGACTTTACGCCACCACCATTACAAAACTGCAAAGCTGTGTTTGGTGCGCCTCGGCATGATGACGTTCTGTAGTTTCTTTAGGCCACTTGTTAGCAACAGCCTTTTTTTTAAGACACATAGAAGCTCAGAAGTTCATGAGCGGGGTATTTGCTGATGTATTTTATGTCAAAAATGAAACATAAAAGTCTCTTAAGCTTGTGTCAACCACAGACCTTATTTCAGGCTTCAAACCAAAAACCCATTGACTCTGAGATGAGGGAACAGTGAGTGCTAAAATGCTAACTCATTTCTGTGTTTTAGGACTCATTCCTGGCGGACTCTATTGCATGCAAATATTCCTCCTAAACACAAATTTATTATATTTTTTTTAATCTAATCTTAATTTCTTTTCTTCTATTTTTGCATTGACTGTAATAAATTGCTTACTTATAATGTAGTGATGATGGTACATTTACGCGGGCTTTGTGTGGTAACTCCTAGTAATTAACTGTTTGGGTATATTGTCCTCATGTGTGCTATAAATTACATAATTTACACATGACATGTCACATATCATCACAGCTCATCTATGTAGGTAGTTACAAAGAACAAGGGGCAGCTGTGGCTCAAAGTAGAGCGGGTCGTCCACTAATTGAAAGATCAATGATTTGATCCTCAGCTCCTCCGAGGATGTCTTGGGCAAGGTACTGAACCCCAAATTGCACCTGATGGCTGTTCAAACAGTGTGTGAGAGCGAGTGAATGGTTACTGAGTAGCAGGTGGCACTATATAGGGTAGCCTTGGCCACCAGGGCGTGAATGTGTGTGTGAATGGGTGAATGTGACATATGGTGTAAAAGCGCAGGACTAGAGGACTAGAAAGGCGTTATACAAGCGCAGTCCATTTACACTTACTTGAGTACTGTACTTAAGAACATTTTTCAAGTATCTGTAATTTGAGTATTTCTTTTAAACTTCTGACTTTGACTCAACTATATTTCTATGAAGGTTTCTGTTAGTCGTTACTTTGAAGTATAGCTATGTAGTGTGGGAGAGAATTTTCTTTTATTAAAATGTGACAGTCACAGTAAACTATTCAGGCTGTTCTCATTCACTGTTTGTCTGTATACCTACAAAAAGTAATGCACCACAATTTGTATATATCCCACGTAATCATGAACCAGTAATTTGTGTATAACCCACATAATCAGGAAGGCTGCGATCACATGACCAATGTGCTGACAGAAGAAGGGAAGAAAGTACAGAACAAAAGTCAACATAAGAAGAGAGGTTGGAGTGGTGGATGAGCAAAACAACACAGGACTTTCCCCCAGGACACCAGTGTTTGAAACCAAGTGACGTTATTTTAAGGTACATTGTTTCCATGTTACTTTTCCCTAACCAAACCTATGTGACTTTACATCATCATTCATCACTGCTACATCAGATTTACGCAACTTTATATCAAGTATGTAATGTAGTTCGTGGGGTGCTACTTTGGTTGATATGATGTGAACTGTTGTATTTGTATTTTTGTAAGATATCATACAAATGTTTTTTTTTAGGATATGTTGAACTACTCCTTCTACACCTGTCAGTCAGCTTCAAAGTGCTTGCTCCAGTTTCCTCACCACCAGAGCACCCATGGTCATTTCTGTAGTCCATGTTAGAATTTTTTAAATGAAGACAGAATAATATTGATTTGAATCTTTGCTCTTTTCACCATAAACAAAATTCATCACTGCCCACAAAATTCACTGTCCAACCTGAGAAAGCATGTCAAGGTATATTAACATTTTTTATTCCAGATAGACATGTTTAAACAAAGTTTTCTGTGATTGTAGTAGTTGCAGTTTTTATGCTATAGTTGGTCAAATGACTTGTAATGGATTTTCATGGATTTAGCCACATATTGGGCAGGATCCTGTGTGAAGGTTGTTTCAGAGTCTTGTATTAAAATAATATTTGAGTATCAATACTTTTGACTCATGTAATGGAGTCGTGCACGATCATCAGGTTCAAGACCAATCATGACATTCCTATCAGCTGTTTAAATGCTAAACAGCAACTGTTGACATGCTAACACACAAAAATATAATAGTGAACATGACAAACATTGCACCTGCTAAACATCAGCATGTTAAAGGATTACTCCTCCCACAAAATGACCTTTTAAAATCAATAAGTCATACTGTGTTACCTTGACTTTGCAAAGAAAACATTGTTTTTCTAGCATATCTCCATAGAAAACAGTGAACATATTGATGTACTGACTGACTGGGGATGACGTTTAACAACAGTAAAACTACGTCAAGACATCCGTTCACAAACTCTCACACAACTCGTGCAGTGAAATCTAAGTCTCAGTTATCCAGTCGTATGCTCAGCACTTACTGTACAACACAGCATTTTTGCCAAAAACCTTAGTACTGGAGACTGGCTTTGAAGAAACCATAAAAAATTCACTTGCATTTTAGTTATAAATGGACAGGTTTTGATAAAAAATGCATGTTTGATAATTTGATATAGTTTTTGCTGTTGTTAACTGTGGTCCCTGATTAATCAATAAATCATAATGTTTACCATTTTCCGCAGAGGCATGCAAAGAAGGATTCGTCACGAATTCAAGGTAACACGGCATGACTAACAGACTTACAAAACATCATTTTGTGGGTGAAGTATTCCTTCAGTGTTGTCACTGTGAGCATGTTAGCATACTGACATTAGCATTGAGCTCAAAGCACCACTGTTTGACTGTAAACTCCTCTCTTGTCTTTCCGTGAGCTGGTTGAATAGACTTACCGAACAAGTGGGAGCTCTCTGAGATGGGGAATTCATCGCTGGGTGGGATATGCAGAGGTCCCACCACATTGATGTCGGGGCCCACCCACTCATTCATTCAGGAGGGTCGTCAGGCACCAACTCAGGAAACACAGGTTGGACTGGGTCAAAGTAGCTGTCTGCCTCTGTTTACAAGCACAAAAGTAGGATGATTTGTGAACCATGGTGAAGATTTCCTGAGCAAACCTATAGCCCTGCATGATCCTCTGAAACCTACAGTGTAATTAAACATCAGCCGTGGAGTCTCTACATCAACACACCTGACGGGTCTCCTCTCCCACACAGGGAGGAGATGTTCAGTAGCTGCCGGCAGGGAGGTGGGGGATGAAGGTCAGGACACAACAAGGCCTCTCTATGAGCAAGTCATGGAAAGCGTCTTTTCTTTCTACCTCCTGTCAGAACGGTTATCATATTTCTCATCATATTACATATTCAAGTACACATTGTGTTGTTAGGACTCACTTGACAGGACGTATCACAGGATCAGTGTCGTATTTCTTAATGTGATTTTACTGAACATAATTTATGGAAGCATTCAGTCTTAGTTAGCAGATCATTTAATAATATAATAACTCTAGATGAGCTTGAAGATATTTGTGAATAACAGAGACACTTTTAAACTTTTCCAATCTGGTGAAAAGGCCACAACATGTGAAACATTACTTTTATGGACTTCACCTGCCACATTTTGTTTTTAATTAACTCAGTGTAATTTCCCCTGGGATCCAGAAGCAACCCACAAGGATTCAGAAACCTCCAGTCCAATCTAACAGCCCACACACAACAGCCAAACATACCTCAGGCACAGTGGCACGCCATGGACTCATAAGAAGTCACCTGCTCACCAGTGAACATGAAATATGTCCAGAGTTCTTACCTTATCCCGCTCTGTTGATGTCGAATTCCTGTCCGCTAACTTTCCACTTTTTCAGCCTTGTTTCTGACATCCACGCCGTGAGCTACAGCTCAATCAATATTTGCTAATGAACATTAAGCTGCTTGCGTCTGGGCTCCAGTAAGAGCATGTGTGACCAGTCGAGGTCAGGGAGAAAAGGATGGTGGTTATTAATTAAACTGTCCATTCCTGTCAATGTCAAACCACCCCCCCCCCCCCCCCCCAAAAAATCCACATTATCTCACCAAGACAAGGCTGCCTCATGAATTCCCCAGCAGACCAGAGATCCCACCCACACACAAACATCACACATGGAACATACATCCAGTCTTTAGCAAACAACTGGTGAGTAGAAGTGCTGCTATCAGTCCAGTAGTTTATAGTTTTTATCTCTAAAATAAAAACAGAGCATGTCTTCTTTCCACTGCAACAGTGATTTCTTCAACATTTTCAGGAGGAATTTAAGGCTATCATGGAAAACCACTGAGAGCAGACTGTAGCAATCGTTGCTATCCGTCCTTGAACTGATCAGTGCCATTTATTTAATCATGTCATCGCAATGTGCGGTCTGCACCAGATTTATTTACATTGGCACTTTCATACCTGAGCGTACCTGCCCTGGTGTCTGTGCTCTCCAAGATGGACGTACACATCTCATCTTTATAATCCTTCATTTGTCCAAAAAAACAATAGTTTAATCATTGATGGGCTGTTGCTCCATCCAAAGAGGCCCTTCTGAGTCAACAGATAGTCTCTCTGAAATAAATAGAACCTTTGCCATTGGCTGCCAGCTGTTTGTGGACTATCTGGTCTGTGTTTGAGAGCATGTGGGGAACGAGCTGACAGCGATGGCCTCTGGAAAAGAACGGACACAACTCTACTGAACATATTTAGAAATTACATGTACAGCAGTTGAGGCGCAGGTTTATCTAAATCTATTTTAAATACATCTCTTTATGTGGTGAGGATGAGGATGAAAACAGATAGTGAGTGTTGTGCGTCACCTTGGTGCTTTGTTACTTATTCCAGACAGGCTGTACTGTGAGTGACGTCCACACTAAATAACAGGAACACACCCTGGATAGTGTCATAATCACCCACATGATCTGCAAGGACGGCCAGCAACAAAAGTGTTAAAACTTTTCATAGATCACCAAATGTACAGTGTTAAACATCTGTGTATGTGTATATTTCACAATATAAGGACTCCCTCTAACTTTAATCTTATCAAGCAGTACTAGGTTTTGTAGAAGTGAGTCTGACAGTGGTGAGAAATATCCTGTCCAGTAATTATCTTCTGTGGTGAAAATGAAGCAGGCGGATAAAGACAGATAAGACAGAGGATGTTTACTACAGCGTGATGGAAAACAGAGCAGTCTTTGGAATATTTAAAAATGTCTAATTTGAGCTCACTAACATAAACAGGCAGCACTAAGGACACCCTATTCTGTCAAGGAGTTACATAAGATAACAAGAATCTATCATGTGTGTATATATATGTATGCAATGCATTGTTCTGCTGGGAAACCTTTGGTTCTGGCATTCATGTGGATACCACCTGACACGTTCCACCCACTCAAACACCGTTGCAGACCAAGTACCCCGCCTCATGGCAACAGTACTCCCTAATGGCAGTGGCCCCCCAGCAGGATAATGCACCATGCCACACTATAAACATCGCTCAAGAATGGCCCAAGGAATGTGACAAAGACCTCAAAGTGACAGCCTGGCCTCCAAATTCCCCAGATCCCAATCTGAATGAGCATCTGTGGCATGTGCCATCAACCCACCTCACAACCCACTGGACTGGATGGATCTAAGCAAAGTTATTTACTTCACCTGTCAGTGGTTTTAATGTTTTGGCTAATTGGTGTGTGGTGGTGATGGCGTGTCCTCCTCAAGCTCAGAGTTTGAGGGTTCTGAGCAGTATCTTAGCTGTTCCCAGGACTGCACTCTTCTGGACAAAGAACTCACATGTTGTACCTAGAACGTGCCGAAGCCACTCTCCCATTCTGGGGGTCACAGTGCCCAGTGCTCTGATTACCACTGGCACCACTGTTGCCTTTACTCCCCACATCTTTTCTAGCTCCTCTTTCAGCCCTTGGTATTTTTCAGTCTTGTGTTTCTTCCTCCTGGTGTTGCTGTCACTCTGGATTGCTACATCTATCACCACTGCCTTCTTCTGTTGTTTGTCGATTGACACAATGTCCGGTTTATTAGCCATCACTAGTTTGTCAGTCTGGATCTGGAAGTCCGATAGGATCTTAGCTTGGTTATTCTCCACCACCTTCGCAGGTGTCCTCCATTCTGACCTTGGGACTTCTGGCCCATAATCATTGCAGATGTTCCTGTACAGTATGCCAGACACTTGGTTTTGGTCCTCCATGTTGGTTGCCTGCATCTTACATCCTGCTATTATTGCAGTCATCAGGTACCCCGTTGGTATAATAAACTGGCCAACATTGGACATATATTGACACGTATTGAACATTGGACCAACTGTATAAAGGGCACATTGTGTCTTCTTGAAGGCTTTATGTTAATGATTTAAATGAGCTGGAGAGGTGGAAACAAATTTTAAAAAGCTGAATTGTACTATACAAAACATGCTCTGCTACTTTCGTTCATCTTTTAAAACAGTTTCTCTTTATTCATGCTATCAGCACAGCTCTGAGGATAGCAGAATCAGTCGGTCCACCACCTTAGTCTTGTTTCCACCAAGCAGCCCAGTTCAGGTTGTTACACATTACAACGGTTATTTTTGCATCTCTATTGTCAAAAGTTGTGGATGGTACCACTCCATTCGGTCACTCCATTTTTGTTACCCCTCTGTTAAGGTACCTAACACACTGATCCAATACTACAAGGAGCTAGAAACACTGCGGTCTGTTGAATGTTCAAGAGAAAGTCAATGCACAAACAGACTATTTTTAAAAAGTCCATCAATTATGAGAGAGAACATAGTCTATTCTTTTTTGTTTTGAAAATGTCGGCATGCCAACCCATTCTGAGCAAGATCTACGAGGTGCTGATGTTCGCTGGTAATGCAAAACAGATCTAGAGTTTAGGTACATGTCCATATAGGTTAAGTATTGGTTGTAAGGGTACTTATACTGAAAGTGAAAACGTTCTTGATCCAGACTGAAATATCGCAACAACTGCTGAATAGATTGCCATGACATTCGTGGTGATCATTCATGAAATTTGATCACGATGTTCATGTATATCTCGGGATGAATTGCAATAATTCCCGTGATCATTTAATGTTTCATCTAGCAGCATAGGCAGAATATTAGACAATAAGCCCCTGGCCAAGGACACCTAAAACTCCACCCCAACCTAGAGAGCAGATACGCTAAAGCCCCTTTCCCACTTTCAGGACAAATGTATCTCTAGCAAAAGTTCAGTAAGGTAGACAATACTTTTCATGCTCAGGCTGAACGTTTTCTTCCTCATTCTGCCATTCACTCCTTGCACGCATGCTCACTCACTATCTGTAGGTGTCATCCCGGTGTCAATTGAGTCATCCGCTGAATCACAATCAACCAATAGCACAGCGACACACCTTCTCTGTCAGCCTATCATCTTACTGCTCCTCATTTTAAATATGGTTCTTACTCTGGCGTAGTTCTTTTTTACTGCCGCCGTGCGCACCCTCTACCTCCCTATTGCCACCTAGTCTTTACAGATTCATCAGCCTCATCTGCCTCAGCAGTCAGCAGCCTCAGAGTCAGCAGCCACCACCACCAGTGTCTGGACTCCATTAGGTCTGTTAGGTTCATCAGATGTCCCTAGATCACAAAATATCTCCCTCTGGTGAGACTTTATAGTAGTCATGGGTATTTACTGTCTCCAGCTTTGATCTGCTTTGATCAGCAGTGATGGAAATACAACACTCGGGTGGATGCGTCAACTTCTGCCCCTTTGCCAGCACAATGCAACAACGGGCTGCCACAAAGTACAGCCCTGGAGAGCTGCTAGCATGGCGTTAGACTCTGTTTTGTTCTCCATTGCACACAGTTTGCAATTTGATGATTATCTTTATAATTTCTTTGAATACACACATTAACATGAACCTCATACAAGTACTCAATATTTCAAAACCTCCACAGGACTTTATGTCTCTAAACAATCTCAATACAGAATAGAAATGTAGTTTATTACATCTCCAGTGTTTTCAAGTAAAGTGCAAATCAAATCAATGCTCTCAAACAATAAGATAATAATTTACTGTACAAAATGTCTCTTCTTTAGCAGTAATGATAAACAGTGAGTGTTCCCATACTCTTTTATGATTAAACATTACAGTACGTTGTTTTTAGAACCAAACTGGGTCTCCATGTATCAAACACTGAGGAATTACAAAAAAGACAAACACCTGGAGAATAAATAGTTACACTAAATGCTTCATGGAGTGACGTAAGCACTGAACTCCCCATCCATTACGTCCCATTATGAGCTCACAACACCATAAATAATGGAGCTACAATAATGCCGGAGGAAGTGCATGGTGAACCAAGACCTGCTCGGATGAGGAGAGCGAGCTAAGCGGCGACAAAGTGCAATCATTCAGCAACAGCAAATACATACAAGCAAAATAAATAAAAATAAGGCTCATAACATTAGCACTGCTGTTAAACCCATTATTACATTCCAGAAGCACATCTCTTTTCACGTTGCATAGCTGACACAAAACATTTTAAAAACTGTTCACAGGGAAAGTAAAGTCAGGTTTAAAAGCTGATATGTGTTTCTAACATTCTTTTAACACAGTTGGTTCATGAATGTTGGTCTGTGGTTCACTTTCTGTTACACTAAGCATACTAGTCTACAGTTTATGTCAGTGTAGATTAAATCTATTGTTCTGATTATATCATGTATTTGTTGTTTCCTTGTTTCTTATTTTGTCCTAATGGATTTCTAATAAACATTATGCTTGATTTGATCATTTTTTGACGTTACAGTACATCACAGTTATACTGGAGTATTGACCAAAAATGAAAAACGGCCGTCTTGAGGTACATATGATGTTGCTGCTCCTGTCACTTCTCTGATGTTTCTGACATTTCCACAGGTGTGATATCAATCTTTAAGCCTCCTCCAGAATGTTTTGGAAGTCCTTTGCCCCACAGGGCGTCTCACTGGTAACGGTCCTGGTAGTCGCCATTCCCAAAATGTTCCTCCTCCTCCTGCATGGTCACCCCTTTCTTCTTTTTCCAGCCCTGTATTCGACCAAATGAATTGTCTGCGGTGCCGTAACTCCTTTTTGGAGCCACCGCACTCTCCATGTTGAGCTCTGACTCTTCAGCCAGCTCGTCCTCATCAATAATGCCACATTTATCCTCGCTGGTACTCTCAGGGTTGGCCCAGTCCTGCTGCTCTCCCGAGGCAAAGATAGCGTAGAAGATGACCCCTGAGTAATGCACCATGGACGCAATAACAAAGACATTCTGCCACTCCAGACGAGTCTGTGGGGAGATGAATGGAGTCAATGAATTTCCTCTCCAAAGCTGAGGTAGCGTTGTAAATCTACTGCCTTACTCATGGCACTGGAAAAACTGTAACTGCAGTGCGTATAATAAATTTTACAGAGAAATAAATTATTAACAACTGCCACTGATTGGTGCAAGATTACATACACTGACTTTGGGTTTCACCAAAAACCAAACCTGCTGTGTCAGTGAACACTGTTCCTAAATTCCCTGTTATGTTTTATACCCTTATAATTAAAAACAATTTCAACAGAATATGAATAGGAATTTAATCACAGTCAAGATAAGAGCAAAATACCCAGGATGAATGACAACTACTCCCAGCAGGTCTGTTATTATATGTGCCAAATTGTCACCGTTATAAATCGATCTTGCTATACCTTGTGTTTTGTCAGGGCTCCAACAATCAGAGGACACACCATTCCTGACAGCGTTCCCACCCCATTAGAAATGCCCATCAGGATGCTGGCATAGCGAGGAGCAATATCCAAATGATTGACGTTAAAACCTGAAGACACACAGAAACATTTGACTAACCATGAACATAGTTTAGATTTTTCGGTTGCCTTGACAACAGTCTATAAAATATTTAGGAGAAGTGCTGTGTGAGGGCTTGGCAAGCTAATGCACGGATGCAGCATGACACCCAAAGGAAGTCTTTCATAATACAAAAGATAGAAAACGCCAAGAAAACAGCCCTGTCTCCCAGAAATGATGTTATATACAACTAATTTGAAACAGAAAATACATTTTGAAGGCACATTGCGAAGTGCACTACAACATAATGAAGAAATGTTGCTTATTCATGGCAGGTTGAAATCTGTTTTTACTGAACATATCAGCAAAATAAAATGCTCACTGACAATGTATTAGGAGTTATTTTCCACCAAAATATCTTGCAATAGTATCTACTGTGACAAGTTACTACAACATAATTTGTTTTAATTACCTTTTTTTATTAACATACAACTGACATCACAATGTTTCCCAAACCTAAACCGAAGGACTTTTGTCACCTAGACCTAAGACAGGAGTCTGGACACAAACCTGAAGTTCTGGCAGAACTAGGTCTCACACTTCATACATCAGCCATCCTCCCCAACCACCTCTTTCTAAAGCCTATATGGTACATGAATGTAGAGTTTCACTCTCTGACAGACACGTTGTCTCTGAGCATAATCCAGGCAGCAATCTGGGCCCCTATTCTCAAGCTTTCAATAGCTTATCAGGGCGTTCCATTTCACTCTCCATTATTTCTTGTGAATTGTACATGTACTTTTTCTTTGTCTGTTTCTGTGAATAAATTTGTGGAGAAAAAAAATACATTGCCATAACAACATAATTAAAAAAGAGCAATATCCTGTCTATTTGAATGTTTTTATTGGACCTTTTCAGGTAAAACATTTGTTACCATGGTGCAGATGTTGCAATACCTGAGATGGCGAATCCACTGAACCCTACAGCCAGAACGAGGAAGGAGATGGCGATCCCTCGAGTGTGAGAAAACCCCACCACCAACAGCAGAGTAGCCTCCATACCAAACCCTGTAAAAATACAGGACCAGACAATGTGATGTAGGAAACAACACCATCAACATTTTACCTGCAACATTCCCACTGGACTACTTTACAACTAAAACATTTGCCTGAGGTACTTTTTGTACACTGTACTGCCATGTTTTTAAATATGTGTTGCTGTTTTTTAACAGTTCCTAAAATGTACAGAAAACGTTCAGCAAAAGACATAGCTGACACCAAAAAGACGTTATCTCCTTAAATCTGTACACACCAGTACCAGTTAAAGCTAACACAGCACAAGAGCAATGACTGACAGTGATACGGAGATTATTAAAAAAATAATATAATGTTACTTTAATGTTTACAGAAGAAATAATTAACATTTCACCACTTTCACAACTACTGGCTCATGCAAGAACGGTTGAAAACCCTTACTGGGCACAATAACTATAAAACCGGAGAGTGGATCTTTTAGTTTCCAATATAAAGATAAATAATGACAAAAAGTATTGCCTCTATTTACCACAACGTACCTCCACAGTTCATGAGTTTCCTCACATTTGTGGTAGACATGATTTTATTACTGCGTAAGAAGTCAGCCAGCTGCCCTCCGATAGGAACTACAATTGTCATCACCATGTGGGGTACGGCGGACAGGATCCCCACCTGTTGTGAGATCACACAATCAGGAAGTCATAATGTAAATCAACCCTGTTATTAAAGCTGGGGTAGGAAGTTTCATTTTAGTATTTTGGCACTCATAATAAACTTTCAGCATTTTGTAGTTACTAATAATGAGAGAAAACTAGACTTCTGCACCTCCTTTTGGCTCTGTTTTCAGGCTTTAGAAAATCTAGCCTATGATGGGAGACTTTGGCCAATCACAGGTCATAATGGCTGCTGTATAAATGCAGATGCACGTGCACGTCTCTTCAGTGAAAGCCTGATTCAATGGTAAAGACTCCTGCAGAAAAAGATGCTATTCAAGCTTTGGCAACAACTGCCCACACTGCAGAGCAACCCAAAAAAGGAAGATGGACTTATCAATAAAGAGAATCTGACAATAAATGAAACCGAACATATCAGCAAAGTGTTTCAGAGATGAAGAGAAGATGTTGCTAATGGTTTAGCCCTCTGTAGACCGGAGCTAAAGGTTCATGGCTGTGGCATCAAGTTCATGTTTATGTAGCTTACATTAGTGAGAGCATCGAATTACAGTGTGTCCTCCCCTTCACTTCTGGAGATGGACCCCTAGTCAGTGGCTGCAGTATCTTGAATCCAGCCAGCGCAAACCCAAGCTCTGGGGGACCAGAAAGCCCCAACTCACTGCTATGACACATGAGAGCTGGCACTGCTGCTGGCCCCAATACTGTTATGACACCTGGTGCTGGGGGGGGTTGCACTGGCAAAAAATCGAGCCGCTACAGTTGATGACTGAGGGTCCATCTTTGGTGCTGTTGCACATTCGCCCCCTAGTGAAGCAGTCCACAGGGGCAGGGGGTGGGGCATAGGAATGGTGGAGTGCTTAGCTAGCTAATTCTTGTCTGATAAACAGAGAGAAGGCGAGAGCGGACAACTCTGCAATTAAATGACAAATAAATCAACGTATGGGAAACACTGAGTCACTGTATGAAGTGTGTGGTCGTCTGGTGGGCAGGGCTTAGGAAAGAAAGGTTAGGGAGAAGAGCTGTAGGAGGAGGGCAATTTTCCTTCTCTGGACTTCTGCCTACCCCAGCTTTAATGATCTTTTTTGATTTTTATTTTTCATAGTCAGTTGAATGGTTATTGTGAAATATGGTATATACTATACAAATATAGTGAGGCCAACCTTGCTTATGGGGAAGCCAAAGACTTCCTCAAAATATGCCGGCTGGCTGATGAGGAGCAGGTAGAAGGTCCAGCTGCGGCAGAAGTTGGCCACGATGATGGCATAGACGGGCATGGATGTAAAGAAACGACGCCATGGAGTCTTGAATTTCTGTGATTGGGAGACAGAAGCCAGTGTATACCATTTATAATGTGTGTGTGGATATGTGTGGAGATGTCAGAATTTTTGCAGAATGATCAAACATTACTCTGTGATACCCTGAAAGTGGCAGCATGTTATGCACACACACCTCAGTGACACTCAGTTGGCGCATTGTTTCACCAATGGTGGTCTCGATGTACGTCCTCTCCTCGTCAGAGATTGTGGGATGTTCAGCAGGACTTCCATATGCCAGCAGGAGCCACGTGACATACCATATGATCCCAAAAACACCTTTTCATAAAATGACAGCAACAAAACATGACAATTATAGTGACAGCTTTGTGAGACGTAGGACAGACTAATTAAAACAAGGCAGAGCTTTCTCTTTGCCACAAGATTTTTCATTATTAAAAATGAAGTGAACAAGGTATGAGTCACACAGCCCAGACAGGAAAATGCTAATTTACATCAATAAATCATGAGATTATATCAGAGCTGAACCAGGGTAGATTTTTATTAAAACACATTTGGCAAAGTATGAATTTTATGTCAGTGTTAATCATTTTAATCAAACTCTAAAGCAATTCAGATAACGCTTACTGTGTGAAGCATACAAAGTACAGCTGCCAGTGCCCAGTGTGTATAATGACTGACTCAAACCCTCAAAGGATAACTTCGGTGTTTTTCAACCTGGGCCCTATTTCCCCATGTGTATGTGTGCGTATGATTCATGGGTACCACTAGTTTTAAAATTGGTTCAGTATTAAGGGAGGCGGATGCAACTAGGAGCCGTGAAACAAGCTAAAACGGTAACAGGGGCAAATGCATCCCGTATAAGTTTGCACATTAAAAGTGCTTTTTTTCGCCACTGACTGGTTCAGATCGCCAGTGCTATCTCTGTAAATAGCATATTAAGCGTTTCCCTTACCTCTGGGCTGTGACGTCATCTCGTGAGAGCTTTGCTCCACTGTGTCTGTAGCTCTCTCTACTCATGGGACAGCCATTTTCTTGAGATAGAGGTGTTTCGGGATTGGATGTCTTCTCTTCTTTGGCTTGCAGTAGTCATCTTGGGAGAAGTGAGCACTGCAGACCCGATGGTCTGCAAGGCGCAGTGTCTGGACAGGAGTGTTAGCATCCATTTGTAGCACAACTAGCCACAACTTCAGCATCTAGCAGTCCAACAAAGACAGCCTATAAAAGCTGTACGGGGTGTTGCGCGACATCCTGTTCTTGCAATTTGGATAAGCACAAACTCGAACCATTGTTTTCAATCGATGCAGTAAAACTCTCAACTGTACTCCGGGACAACCAGTGCCATTCTGAGCGGCGTTCAGCATGGCTCCTCTGTTTTCTTCTGGCAACAAGCAAAGCTCTCGCGAGATGACGTCACACAACCCAGAGGTAAGGGAAACGGTTAGTATGCTATTTACAGAGATAGCACTGGCAATCTGAACCGGTCAGTGGCGAAAAAAAGCACTTTTAATGCGCAAATTTATATGGGATGCATTTGCCCCCGTTACCGTTTTAGCTCGTTTCGGGGCTGCCGGCTGCATCTGTCTCCCTCAATACTGAACCAATTTTAAAACGAGTTGGACCTATGAATCATACGCACACATACACATGGGGAAATAGGGCCCAGGTTGAAAAATACTGAAGTTATCCTTTAACACCCTATAGCATATAGACCATAACATGAATAGGTCAAATATATATAAATTAGTAGGAATGGTTTTAATCCACAGGTGTAAAAATGGATCCTATGCAAAAGCAGTCTCTGTGGGCCCCCTGTCCTTCCTCACTAGATCTATGTCTCTCTTACACGCCTACTGAATTATTATTATTTATTTTTTTTTACAAAGTCAGTTTGATTTCTTTCTTGTCATTTTTGCAATTTCCCTTTTTGGGGGAAAGACAGGACAGCATATGTCAGTGCTCCAGCAGAATAAGCAGTCACATCCTTGTCTTTAGCTGCATTTAGAAACAAATCCCACTGCAGGGGCGGACTGAACCATTTTGCACCTCTAAAGGGTGAGAGGAGCCTTAGAGACCCTCCATTATATTTTAATACAAAGTTCAGTCTTTCAACCAACTTATCCAGCCAATTTTAATTAAGTTATGGCAATAATCACTTAGAAATAATACATTACAAAAAAACCCCAAAACTATTCATTCCAGGCTTTTCGAGGGCCCCCCTCCCACTGGGGCCCTGGGCAATCAGTCCCACGTTCCCCTACTACAATGCCTCTGTTTACATCCATTTGTTAAAATGGCAACAAACTGTGTTGTTAACCTCAGTTTTAAAATTATTGGAAAAACACAGAGACCCCTTTCATGGTAGCAAGTAGTTTGGCAGTTTGTGAAATATTCGTATTTGAGTGTTACATGAGAAGATCAGTACCACTTTTATGTCTGTATGAAGCTACTGTCAGCAGCCAGTTAGCTTAGCGTAGCACAAAAACTAAAATCAGCTAGCCTGGGTCCGTCCAAAGGTAAGATATTAGCCCTTTTTAGATTGGAATTATGCACATTTGCAGGAAAGCCCAATCAGTCTTTTTTCAGCATTTTTCGTGGCAATGGAGACGTGAGCAAGTAACAAAACGTGTAGCTGAGCATGTGACGTAAACAGTGACGTGGGAGGGAAGCCGCAGCTAGTCAGGTGGCGATTCTCTCGTATGTCGGCCCGTTCTTCACCGTTCCTGTCATCTGACGGTTAATGGCCTCTTTGTTTGCGAGGGCAAGGAGGGTGCGCAATTCCTTGTCTCCCCAGTTGCTCATCTTACAGTGTCTGTCAGGTTTGCGTTTCCCTCTTGATACTAGCTGCTCACTAATTCCTGCTATCAGCAGTTTCCTGTTTATCCACCGCCAGTGGGTCGCACGTGCAGTGTCATCAACAGCTCCTCCCACAAGTCATCAACAGCCCCTCCCGTTGCGGAAGGCCGCCTACCCAACGAGGCGGAAAATTGGGTGCCTCGGATCAACTCGCTATTCCGCCTCTGTGTGTATAAACGCTCGCAGCTGGCCGGAAAAACGGCCCAACATTTGCTGGAAAATCTGGCAGTGTAAAAGGGGCTATTGTGAAGCAAGGGCAACAAAGAATTCTCCGTAAACTAAATTCCTTTTCTGTCAGTCCCGTCATCCTCTGCCATTTCCATCAGTCTTTCACTGAGAGCCTTCTGTGTTTTTCATTTATCTGCTGATTTCACAACCTCACACTAAAAGACATAAACATTGCTTAAATCTGCTCTAAGATCACAGGAATGACACTACAGGACTTGACTGGTTTTAGCAATCAATAAATCCTCCAAAAAGTTGCAACTATTTTAGCGTCTTCTGGACATGTTGCTGCAGGCTAATTTCTCTGTTGCCATCAGGGTGTCGTTACACTTTACCTGCTTATAAAACTAACCAGTATTCAAAACCTTTAGATCCCTCTGCTATTTGTCTTTTAATTTCTCTATATTATTCCACTGAACTCCTTAGCATATTTTTTTATTTCTGTTTTTTTTATCTTGTTACACATTTACTTATGTGTCTACATGTTACTGTATGGTATGTTATAGGATGTGTATGATGCAAGCTGTTTAAACAAATTGCCCCTGGTAAGATTAATAAATTTGTTTGAATCTGAATTTGAATTTAAATTTGAGTGACTGAAACATTTGTGCCGATTTTGTGTTTGTAATGTTTATTCAAGCACCAGTGTTACCATAGACATAGAAGACCGAAGACCATCCAACGTACTGAACGAGCACTCCAGCTAAAGGCATGGCGATCACTGCTCCTGCGTAGGATCCTGGGAACAATTGATGTCAGATGTCAGTGTCAAAGTATGATTATACCAGCAGGAATATCAGATCACAGTGGCATAAAATATATTATATAAATACAATATTATATAATATTATAATATATAATATATATTAAATCAATACATACTGAGAAAATGTTTTGTCTCTTTATATTTTCTTTTCACAAGTTTGAATATACCAGAAATATTCAACCTAATGAGGTTACAGTGCAACAGCCTTCAATAGCACAAAAAAATACACCATAGTGAAATTGTGTCTGAATAAAAAGAAACACATCAAAGAAACGCATTAGTTTCGTTGACTAAATGCTGAGTCGTTGGCATTGCCGAGACAGAGAGGGCGTGTTAATGTGTTTTCTATTATCAGACAGATTCATGAACACTGTGGTTTTGAATGGAGCAGGGAGCATGAGAGTGCTTTTGGACTGTAAGCAATGTGACGCTTCATTTAGGTGAATAGAGGGAGAAGCTCCGTCTGAGTACGCAGGTGAGCCGTGCTCATTTACAGACAATGTCAAGAGGGTTTTGATGCGTGGGTTGTCATGGTACCAGTTAAAAGGGCAACGTGGTTATTTTAATTTCAGTAGAGACGGCAGTGGACTAAATCTGCAAAACAAAATGACCTCTCTCATGTTCATTTACTGACCAGCCTCACACAGATGGACAGGGTTGTGTGAACTGGTTTGTGTCAGTGCAAAGCTTTGTGTTGTGGTCAGTTTGGGAGCGTTCACTGAGTATTTTGACAAGAGGAAACCAGAGGCAACGCTCACCACAGAATGAAGTTGTGGCCAGTCGACTCCGTTCAAGAGGTGGCGCCCATTTTGACCACATCCCGTGACATGCTGGATAGGTGACACCCTAGCAGGGACATGGTGTGGAAGATGTCAGAGGTCAAAGATTGACTGGGAGGAAACTTGGGATTTATCTGGAAATGCTTAAAAAAATGTTTTTTGGAAATACACTTGTTTGCTTTCTTGCTGAGAGTTAGATGAGAAGATTGATACCACTCTGGTGAGTGCATGATAAATATGAAGCTATTGAATAGAGTTCCTTAGCTTAGTTTGATTTCCTACTCCCCCTACTCTAGCACGCTGACATAATCTGTTGACAGACAAGCTAACATGTAATGCCTGGCAAATACTCAAAATAGCCTCTGTGGTAGTTCCCATTACAATTGACCTATGGCTAAGCCACGCCCCCCTCCACTCACTCAGACAAACTATCAACATTCAGTGACGGGCGCTATGGCAGGTGTCACAGAACACGGCATTTAACAGGAGGCAAATGATGATTTTTGGAGACATAACGATCAGATGTCATTGAGAAGTAACCAAAAGGGCCTAAACTACGCATTGGAGGGATATATTCATCATTTCATTGTTGAGAAGCTCGATGAAATGCTTACATTACAAGCCAAAATTTACAGGTCACAGTGTACGCTTGTGAACCGCATCTCGTTGCCATCGCCATCAAAGACAACAAGTTAAAGTGTCACAGTTAAGGTTTTTGGCTCAGAATATGAGAAAAGGATAACGGCCTTTTTACCATCTTTACCAAGAGTGTCTCTCCGTTAGTTTGGTGCTACAGTATTTACACTGAATCATTCAGCATAACGTTTGCCAACCTTTGTTATCTCTGCGATTACAGATAAGTTAATGAAGCTAAGCTCCAGAAGTTAACGTTAGCTTAACTAGAGCCCTTTGGACAACAGCTAACAATGATGTACGATCAC